TGACCCACCCAGGGGGCCAGCAGCACCCTGCAGCTAACGGGGACATGGCCAAGGAGCTGCTGCTGGCCCCCCTCTTCTGTGGACATGGAACAATGTGGGCCCCAGGGGGACTGGGCCCGGGTTGGTCTGTCTAGTCACCCAGGGGTGGTCTGTACCCTGCTCTGTCCTAGTCATGGGGTGACATCAGGAGACAAAACGGGCAGTGCTGCCCTGGCCTCACCCCTCCCCACAACTGGGAGTGGCCTGTGGACTTGATGCAGATGAGGAAGTGGACCTCGAGGCCAGCAGCCTGCCAGACTCGCCCGCAGGTGTGGCCAGGAGACGCCACTCCCCTGTGTGTCTGTGTCCAGGCTGAGGGTAGGGCCAGTGTCCTCCAAGATCTGGGAAGCCATGGCCCCACGGGTCTTGCAGTCTGGCTGCTGGACAACTGGAAAGGAAGGCTGCATAGAGAGGGAGGCTGGGAGACGCTGAGGTCAGAGGCTGAGAGTTTGGGGTGCAGGGCAGGGTGCCATAGAGGTCAGGTGGTAGGTAGGGCCCAGCCAGCCAGACTCAGGCAGGGTAGCCCTCGCTCCCCCACAGCTTTCCTGGCTCAGGGGCTTTGAGGAATTCTGAGCTGAGGGATCGTGCGGGAGATGGGGCTTGGGCCCTCCTCACCTCCTCCTCCAGTGGCCCATCCAAGACCCTGCTGTGCCCACCCAAGGCCTCTTGGCTCTCCAGAAAAAAATAAAAAAGTGGCCGCCTCGAGGGCCACTCAGATCCTGGGCATCTTCTCAGAGTCTCAGAGCATCTTCAAATTCTTCCAGGACCCCCCATGGGGACCACCCCCATGTCCTTAACTGCTCCCAAGTCCCCAAAGTTCCCTATGAAGCCAGAAGGGGCGAGCCCACAGCAGAGTGGGGCTGCTGGGGCAGTTCCACACCCGGGCCCCTCCCTGCCGCCGCCTCAGGCCTCCCTGCCCGGCTCCCCTCTGTGCTGGGCCCGGGGAGCAGCAGCCCTGCAGACTGGCTGGTGGCCCTCAGGTGCCCAGAACCATCACAAGGTCAGTGTTAGGTACTCAGTGCCCATGATGCCAAGGCCCGTGGCACATCCTCTGAAGGGTCCCGGTTTGGTCGGGAGGGTTTCGACAGAGGTGGCTCTCCACAAGGACCTCATGGCTCACGGTGTGTTCAAGAGTCAGGCCTCACGGTGGTAAGGGACGGCCATCTGCCCCTGACACCAGAGAAGGTGCCCCTGTGCATGGGAGTCTGGAGAAGCCTGCCGCCTGGGGCCTGCTGCTGCACCCGAGGCTGCACCCTGGGGTCAGCTCACCTGCTACGACCCCCACCTGCCCCCGAGCAGGAGTGTCCCTGCCCTGTTGCCCGCTGGCCTCAGCTGTCCCAGGCAGGGTTAATCTGTCTCTCTGATTTGTGCTGCTTGAGATTCACTGGGCTTCGAAGCCTGTTTGGATGTCTCTCAACTGTGACGGGACATTCTCAGATGGCATCTCTTCTAAGTGAAGTTTCAGGGGGTCCAGTAGCACATGCCTGCCACCCAGCAGGACTGGAGACTCTGCCGGCGAACAGGCTGAGGCAAGAGCAGCTCTAGGCCAACCTGGGTGACACAGCAAGGCCCCATCTTAAAGAACAAAAACAGGCAGCCGCAATGGTCCCCGCCTATAACACCGGCTACTCAGGAGGATCACAATTTCGAGGACAGAATGGGCAACTTAGGGAGGCCCTGTCTCGGAATTTTTTAAAATTTAAGATTTGTTAGCGTACCCCTGATTCCGTCTCCAATACCAGAAGAAAAAAAGTCTTCATTCCCTCTCCTGCCAACTCCCTGTGTTTTAAATTTGTATTTTATGCTCCTGTTATCCACGTTATCTTTTTATTTATCTGAGTTATTCTGGATGGTTTATTCCTACGTAGCTTCCAGTTCCTCAGTTTTCTCTTCAGCGATCTTGATCTTCCAGCAACTCTCAGGAGTTCTAAATGGGGGTCACCGTGTGTTCAGCCATGAGCTCACTCGGCCTTTCTTCCAGTCTGCTATACACTGTCACGGGCTCGAGCTCCCGGCAAAGACTGAACTTGCTGCTCTGTGCTCCTGGCACGGACGTCTGACTGCCTTTTGGTCTGCGCCTGATAGTCCTGGGGCGGAGGCGCTGGCCCGACTCCCTGGAGTCCCTCTTCTTTCTGGGGAGATTGTGCCCCTGAGGCCTGGTTTGCCTGCTGACGGTCATCTGTGTGGTGGCCCTTGCACTGGGCAACTATCTGCAGGGATACTTTGCTTTCCAGTGAAGCCCTGTCCTGCTTTGGCTTGTCCTGCTGGGCTCCTGGGGCCAGCCCTCCTGGGGGTCCTGGCAGCCAGGAGCTGGACCTGGGCGGCAAGTCCTTGTGTGGGGCTCTCTGGCCTTGTGCCCACTGTGGGTGCACCGCTTCACAAGGCGCCTTCCTGGCTGGGACCCTCCTGCACTGGGTTTGCTCCGCCCACTGGGTTCCTGGGCCCCTGGGGAGAAGCCGGAGCCAGAGGTGGAAAGGAGATCACAAAATGGGTGCAGGAGGGTCCTTTGTTCTGTGAGTGCCCACTGCTAGGGGCCCACCCTACAGCTGGGGCTTACCTGGCAGCTCTCAGGAGGGTGGGGCTAGTATGGGAAGCACCTGCCTGAAGATCAAAGGTAGGTCCAGGGCAGGCCAGGGAGCTTCAGGCTCTGCGCCCCACCCCAGGGCCTTCCTGTGAGGGTGCGGCAGAGTCTGTGCTACAGAGCAGCTCAGAGCAGGAGCCGGCAGGGCTGGGGCCCAAGGAAGTACCGCCAGGCTCCTGTTCGCAGGCAGAGTCTCCCATCCTGCTTGAACTCCCAGTGCGAGGGTTGGACTCTGCTGGGCCCTGGGGCTGCCCACCAGCACCACCCTGCAAGACCGGGCTTTCCTCCCAGGTTTCCAGAAAGCAGGCCTGTCTGAGTCCCACCCAGATCCACCCAGCACAGGCAGAGGGGAAGGTAGCCGGCAGACCCAGCCCCAAGGTGGAGCCTCACAGGGACTGGTGACCTACGGAGTCAGGCCCCTGGGCTGGGAGCTGGCCCTAGGGTGGGTGGATGAGTCCAGCCCACATAGGGCTGGAGAAGTGGCCCCCAGCATGGTCAAGCCCAGGCGGAGCCTCCAGGAAGGTTCCTGTCCCTGGTCAGAGTGCAAGAACCCCTGGACGGCTCCCAGCCTGTGCCCTGGATCCCAGAGCCGGCCCTGAGATCCCAGCCCTGAGGGCGGCTCCAGGGCTCTCCTTCCTCCCCCAGGCTGTCTCAGCCGGAAGGCAAGCCCCTGGCCCAACCTGGGACCCTCCACCAGCCTGTTCTGGGTGCCGGCTGTGGCTGGCGGCTCTGCAGGAAGTGGCCTGGACACAAGTACAATGGCCCTTTGTCCTGCTGCCACACCCAGGGAGGCCTCAGGCCTGGCCAGCCTGGGGCCTGAGTCCCCCAGGCTAACTGCCATAAGTCATCAGTGTGGGGGTCTTCTGCCATGCCTCCTAGGTCAGACTTTCCTGAGAAGAGGCCAGGCAGGACCACCCATCCCTTCCTGGTACCAGGGCCATACGGCACCCAGCAGCAGGCCACACTGGACCCTTTGTCTGGCTGGCAGTGATTTTCCAGAGATCCTGATGCCCAGGGAAGCTGCTGCCACCAGCCTGGTGTGTTGTGTGGAGCAGCCCAGTTGACCAGTAAAACCACCACGGCTCTTCCCTTCAAGCCTCCAGGACCTGCCGGTGTCCCCCATCCATTCATGTCCTTGATGGGCGGGCTGCACAGGAAGGGCCTTTCTGAGGCTCGAGGCCTGCCCAGAGAGACCTGTCTAGGAGACAGTCCCAGGCCTCAGCCCGGCACCTTTGCCTGCAGCAGGTGCTCGGCAGACCCGACTGCTGCCCGGAGTGAGGCTCCTCACTCCAGCTCAGAGCTAGCCATCTGCACAGGAGTCCAAGGGTCCGCCGGGCCCAGGTGGGGGCTGGAAAGGCAGTCGGCCTGTGGCTGGTCATTGATGACCACACCTAGGCTCATCCCTGAGGGAAGGAGGGCAGTAACAGATCATTTTGCTCAAAGCCAAGCGACATTCAGATGCAGGTGGACCCTGCCTTCCCTGGACCAGCTGGCTGGCACCGTCCACTCTGGTCGTTTTCACCCCACTGAGGAATCGAGAACAGTGGTGGGAAAACCAGGCAGGCCAGAGGAGACCGCAAAGTCAAATTTGCTCCCTGGGGACACACGCACCAGGTCACTAGGTGCCCAGTTGAGGGCTTGGGCTCCACCCAAGCAAAACTCAGCCTCCGGCCTCTTCCAGTCTTTTCCCCTCTGGGGCTGAATCCTTGCCCTGAGCAGGAGGGATACATGGAGTAGCTTCCGCTCCCAGGGCTGGTGGGTGCCTTGTCCTGCTGGTACGGCTGCTGGGTGGAGCTCTTTTGTCAGACCTCCATGGAAAACCTGGAGGAGCAGGGGCTTCTGAGTGAGGCTGCCGAGGTGGCCAAGGTGGGCTGCGTGCTGGGAGCAGGCAGGGTGCCGGGCTCAGCCGCAGCGACAGAACGGAAAAGAAAGGCCCGTCCTCTCCGGGCCACTGTGTTCCTGCCAGGAGCCCCTGGGCAATAGCCCTCTCCACCTGGGCAGCAAGCATCCTGGCCCTCCAGCTGTGCTGGCCATAAGACCCAGGCCCGCAGAAGGAAGGCCCTGCCCTGCTGGCCAAGGCACAGAACCTGCCCCTGGCCACACGGTGCCCCTGGCCACACGGTGCCCCCGGCCTCCAAGCTGCACCCCCGCTGTTCACCCCAGCCAGTCCCAAGACCTGTCCAACCCTCTCCTCCCTGGAAGCCACAGCTCACAAGGCCGTCTCCTCGGGCCTCCTCCCTGCCAGCCCTCTGCAACCTGGAGCAGCTGCGCCTCCCCACTGCCGGCACCATCCCAGCCTTGTCCACAGGAGCTCGGCCGGGCCAGCCCCCTGCTCGGGGCTCTTGTGTCCTGCCCTCCCCAGCCTTGTCCTTCCCTTCCCAGGCAGCAGTGGGCACTGTGTGGGCAGTCCCGAGGGGGACAGGCCTCCGACTGGTACCACTGTGTCCTGGCTGCCCATCGTTCTTAGGGCCTTTGGCTGTCTGTCCACACCATGTCCCACCCCACAGGAATCGTTTCTGGGACGGATGAGAGTCCTGCCATGCAGCGGGCAGTGTGCAAGCCTAAGGCCGGGGGTGGGGAAAGCAGCCTACTGCCCAATGCCAATGACAAAGGCCTGGGTGGGATCAGTCGGCAGCACCTCTACTTCCAGATCCCAGGCGCCCACTGGGCAGCTGAGGGACGGTGCCCAGGTGTGAACTTGGGTGGTGGCAACTCGCTCTCTGGCCGTGTCTGTCCCTGGAGGACCCTCCTTGGACCTGAAGGCCAGGCCAGGTTGGACCCACCAGGCCTTGTGAAGCTCTGCTCCTGGGTGCAAGACGAGATCGAGAGGCCGGCCCTGGGGACAGTCTCTCTGTAATTAGGCGTTTCCAACGGAGTTGGCTGTTAGTTATGGAAAACAGCTGGGTCCCTGGGGTCTCTCTTCTGGTTGGGCTAATTGCTGGAATCGTTTGCCGTTTCATTATGGCCCATCCACTGGGAGCCCAAGAAACAAACATGTCTGATGGAGTCATAAGGAAATCCCGGAAAGGGGCTGGAGGGTCTCCCCCAGACCCTTCTAAGTCCCCAGGAAACCAGGCACTCCAAGCCCGGGGGTTCCACTGTGAGCCCCCAGAGCCACAGGAGGGTGCTTGGGGGCTGTGGCAGTGTGCTCCTCTTTGAGGAGATGGAGGCGGCTGCCCTAGTGTACGTCTGGGTGTTCCAGGGCCACCTGCTCACAGGGATGAGGCTGGGCGGTGCTCCTCCAAGCCTTGGAGAGTCGGGTTCTGGCAGCCCCCCCCCCACTGCCACAACAGGAGTGGGGCCTGGAGGTGAGGAGAGAGGCCTGCCCCCTGCTAAAGCAGCCCAGGAGCCACCTGCGCCCCAGGGGCCAGATGGGGACCTGCTGCCCACGGCTGCCCCTGAGCCAGGGCCTAGGTGATCTGCTGCCCACATTCTACCATGGCCAGGCCCTGCAGAAGCCTCCCCACCCTGGTTTTTGTTCAGCCCTGGCTTGGCGGGCAAGGCAGGAGCAGGAACGTGTGGGCCTGCAGCCCGCCCTCCCCACGTCACTGCAGCTGCCTCCTCCTGGCCTATGGGAGCCCTGGGGACACACCTGTCGGTGGCCAGGAGCAGAGATTGGCCGGCTGGGAGCAGGCACCTGCGTGGGGCGGGGTGAGGAGTGCATGTAAGGCGAGCCCGGCCACGCCGCCTCTTCCTTCCCGGCTGTCTGTGGCGCCCGCCATTGTCCCTGGCTGTCTACCTGTACACCCTTAATCTATGCTTCCCTTTGTGTCTGAGCCTCACCCGGAGGGAGACAGTCCTTCCTGTGCTTCCTGAGCTACAGCACCTGAGGCCAGATCTTGGTTGGGAGAGGCTGGGCCGAAGTCAGGTGTGGGCGCAGGCCCCGAGGACCACGGGCTGGCAGGTATATGGGTGATGGGCGCCAGGCTGCTCCGCGTCCTCTCTGAGGTCTGTTCACACCCCACTGGGTCCTGGGCTTGGGGACAGCGCTGGCTGCTGAGCTGGGGGCGGGAGCGATTCCAACCCGGCTCCTCAGCTGAGGAACCTGTCAGGAACCTGTTGGGGCAGGTCAGGGCGGGCAGGCCCCACAGGCCTGTGGGGCCTCTGCAAGAAGCTCAGCAGGCCCCTGCGATGACGCGGACGGAGCAGGGTGACCGTGACAGATGGGCCACGCAGAGGACACGGCCACGTCCAGGGTGTTGGTGGGCATGGAGTGGGGCAGGTCCTTCCTTTCCGTGGAGAGGGTGACCCCTCGGGCTGCGGCGCGGCTGGGTTCCAGGTGTGGAGCCATCTTGAGCTGGACTGGGAGCAACCCTGGTCCATAGGCCGCACTTTGTCCAGGTGGGTTCCGGCACCAAAGGAGAGAACCGACTCCCAGAAGGGCCACAGACCACTGTCGACCTCGCGAGGGGACCTTCTAAGATGTTCTTTTCAAAGTGGCCACTGATTTTTCCAAAGGGAAGGTTGTGGCCCCAGAAGTGTGTGTGTGTGGGGTGGTGGGGGGTCAGCCAGTTTTGGGGGGTTTCTGGGGCTGGTGTATGACCCTGTGGCCAGTCGTCTGGCCCAGGCCTGCGGGCTGACGAGTGTGGGAGGCTGGGCTCGTCAGGCCTCTCTGGGGCTTTTCTAGATGCTGGTGGCTGAGGTGCAGCAGAGCCAAGACCACCGGAGGAGGAAGGGTGGGTGCCCTAGCTGTCAGTCAGGGCCAGGGCCGTTCTAAAGATGTTTCACTGCAGTGCCAGAGGGCACAGTGTAGGTGCTCGTGGACCTCGGCCTGCAAGGTCGGCCGGGTCCTCTCGTCTCGTGCTGGTCTCCCCAGATGGGCCCTGAGAGTCCCCAGCTCTAGAGGCTGTGGTGTTGAGGGAAGGGAGGCTGTTCTCTCTGAGGCACGATACAGAGTGGCTGCTTTCACTGTTCTTGAGCCAAACTTTCAGGCCATAGGAAGTGGATGTTTTGATTAACCTGCTGAATGTTTTAGGCCTTTTTTTGCTGAGCATCTGGAAAAACGGATTAGTTTTGTTTTTCTAGTAATCCAGATACAGTGTTAGAGCGATTGGCAGATCACTGAATTAGGCAAAGTAAGTTTTGCATTTATGAAAACATAATGCAACCCTGAAATACAGATGCAGTCCTGTTAATTCTCAGACATTTTGGTAATTTGCAAATGCCTTATTTGCAAAATCGGTGTGTCAGGATGTTCTTGGTGTACTTAGGATCAGGTGAACCAACCACTCTAAGGAAGCCACCCGCCAGGAGCCTGCCCCCTCTCCGGGTGCAGGTGGACAGGGGTAGATGCCACAAGACCTGGAGAAGGGCCGAGGGACCATGCCAGCGTGTGGGCGAAATGGCGGTCCTGCCTCTAAGACACGTAGCTCCAACCGACGCTGCGGAATAGCCAGAGTGCAGACACCACGCCAAGCCTTGGCCACCCCCGCCCCCCGCAGCTGCTGGCGTCTGGGTCTGGCTGATCCCAGGGCAGGAGGAGAGGTTGGGTTTCAGGCTTTGTTCTCAGGCAGCCTCGCCATTGATTAAGGCCCGAGGGCAGGTGAACCAGCCTGTGCCTCACCCGGGACTGCATTCCTCCTCCCGCCTGTGCAGGTGGGGCCCCAGAGGAGCTAGCAGAGCAGGGGGGGCCCTCCTGGCCTCTTGAGGCTGCCTCGACTTTCCCAGGCTGAGCTGGTGGAGGTGATGATTAACTAGTCAGGGACCATGACGCTGGTGGCACTTCCCAGGCTCAGCTGACCAGGAGGGCGCCAGGCAGCCAGGAAACGTCTATTTCACTTTTCATTTCTTGACCTGTAGCTTTGGTGCGTTGTCCTGCCCTCAGGCGTCCCTCCCGTTCCCCGCCTTGCCTGGCTCAGCTCTGGTGCCCATGGGCAGCCTTTGGGTGAGGAGTTTGCTCCAGGGATGCACAGATTCTGTGTTCAGTGGGACCCTCCTGTCCACATCCCTGTGGTCACTTCTGCTGGGGTGCACAGCAAGTGGCCTGACCCCCTGGCTTGTGGTCAAGCCAGCTCTGGGCCCTGCAGTGTCCCCAGCCCCAGAGCTCCCCAGGAAGGTCTGGTCCCAACAGCCAAGGGCACTGGGGACACCAGGCTCTGCCCGAGCCCATGCATGGGGAGGCCCGGCCTGTCCACTGGGTGCTAGGGAATGTGTGGACCCAGCCAGGAGGGACAGAGTCCTCACCCAGCCCCACTGCCGCCCTGGAGGGGGCTGAAGTTCCAGTCCTCAAAAAAGGGTTCCCACAGCTCAGGAAAAAGTAGACTTGTGAGGGTTTTGTTTTAATATTCTGTTCTTGTCAGTGGACTTTATTTTTTTTATTTATTTATGTGCGGTGCTGAGAATCGAACCCAGTGCCTCACACATGCGAGGCCAGTGTGCTACCACTGAGCCCCAGCCGCAGCCCTGGAGCTGTGTTCTTGAAGCACTGACTTTCGGGGGTCAGTGAAGCGGAGCTGAAAGAGCAGGAGGAGCAGACGGCCTGTCCTGGGGGAGGTCCCCTGAAAAGCACTGGCCGTGGGGAGGACAAAGTAGAGGGCCAGGTGCACCAGGCAGTGTCTGAGGGCGAGGCGGCCTTTGTTGTGGTCTCTGGGAGCCCTGGGGAATCAGCACAGGGCTGCAGCCCCCTCTGTGGGTGGAAGGTGCTAAAAACTGGAGAAGCCGCCCCAGCCGGCTCTCCAGGCCCAGGCGGCAGGGTCCGGCCTGGGAGGGTGTGCTCCAGGCTGGCCCTTCCTCAGGCCCCATGTCCCCCAGGGACAGTAGGCGAGGCCACCAGAGGTCAGGGGGCTGAAGAGCCCCGTCCTGAACACTCCTGTCCTGAAGGTGCCTGGCATTCTCAGTGTCTTCAGGGCTGCTGTCCCCGTCGACTCTGCAGTCGGACCTCAGATCAGAGGCAATGAATCCTACAGCCGGCCAGGTGCTCCCCTGGGCTCCCCGGCGCCCAGCCCCACCCCACCCTCAGACCAGGGAAGGAGAGACAGACAGACGCACCCACACAGAGACACAGGGGCACAGAGGGCAGTGTGGGCCCCAGTGGGAGGAGGCTGTCCTGCTTCTCTGGGGCCACTGCTGCTCCATCCCTTGTCCTGTTCTCTTCTGGGTCCTTGAGAAGGGCGAGCGGGGACTGGGCAGGGACACGCTGTGGAGTTGGTGTCTTGGAGACAGAGGCTCATTGTCCAGTGGCTGCAAACCCCCCAGCCTCAGACACACATACCAACACACATACCTGGGACCCTGAGGGGGCTGGACCTGATGCCCAAGTTTTTCTGTGGAACACCTAAAGGGAGTGGCTAGCTGTGACCTGACCCTGACCGGGTGTTGGTCACCTGGCCTGCTCCACCAGCCCCTGCCTCCCGTCCCTTGTGGCTGTCAGCCTCGAGGTGGGACACCTGGCCCCCACCAGGTGCCCACTGGTGTCCCAAGCACAGAGGCCTCTGCCCTGCCCCACCTGGGGCTGCTCCCCAACACAGTGCCAAAGAGGACATGGCTCTGCCTCAGGCTGAGGAACAGGTGATAAGCACCCCCATCAAGTTCCTGCTTGAACCCCAGCCAGGCGGCCCCCAGACCCATTCGGGCAGCCGTGGCCATCTTACTGGGCAGCATTGGATGCTGTCTGATCTCTAATACTGCCTGGTAATGATGACGGCGGAGCCCTGCACGCAGCGAGGGGGCCGCCCCCCCCCCCCGTTGTCCCCTGGGGCCTTTTCTCTCAGCTTGTCCACCCTGTCCTACTTGGGTGGCTTCTGAGTGGGCAGAAATCTGACCTTGGGGAGGCGTCTCTGAGAGCCCTTCAGGCCTCAGGATGAAGGCTGCCAGCAGCTGCGTGGGGGGGCACCCCAGCACCCCCCACTGTGTTCTGCGGATTAGGACACTCAGGTATCCGGGCCCTGCCCCTGGCGCCCGGGCAGGTGCTGCCACCACACCTGGCAGGTGTGGACTGGGCGGAACAAAGGGCTCTGGAGAGCAAAGGCCCAGCCTGGGCCCAGAAAGCCTCACGCCAGGAGCTGCCACCAGAATTGGGAGCTGTGTAGTGACCCAGGAAGGGCCACTGGGTCCAGACCCCTCTCCCTTCCTGTGTCCGGGGTGGGCAGGTCAGCTTGCAACCGCCAGCCTTGGTCCCAGGCCAGCAGCCCCAGGTCTCCTTGCTCTGGACAGACAGTGTGGCCTCAGGATCTCAGGAACTCTCTCTTGCTGGCCTGGTCCAGCCCAGACGCAGCCCTGGCCGCTCACTGTACTGGATCCTCCACCACCAGCACTCCACCTGGCCTGTAGGAGCTGCATGGCTTTGGGCCGAGGTGCACCTGGGCCTCTGTGGGCATCTTACCAGACAGTGCTGGATTTCTTGGCTCAACTCTAACACTGTCTGGTAACGATGTTCAAAGGTGACCCACCACTCGCCGGAGATGGCCCGAGGATGCGCCATCCTGAGCTCCTGGACTCCAGAGAGGCGCCAGGCGGGGGAGGACCTATCAGCTCTGCAGCTGGCAATCATCGGGAGCTCGCCTCTGCCCAGGATGGGCCTCTTCATGCCAGGGGCTCCCCGTGCCACTATGGAGCACAGGGCAGGCTCCGTAGCACTGCCCCCACTCTTCCCCTAGGCTGGACTTTGGAGTGATCTGGGTCCTGGAGAGACCACAGGGGTCCAGATACTGGGCTGGGTGGGGAGACCTTGTGGGCAATGGGCTGTTACCCACGTGGGCCCACTGGGGACTGGGGAGGCAGAGTAGGCTCCATTGGCCTAACTCCACACAGAGGTCCCTGCAGACATGTCCTGGCTGTTTCCTAACTAAGGACAAGGAGTCTCCGTTCCTCCCCCTGGCAAGAACAGGAACTTTGTCCAAAATCACAAGCCAGGATTACCCATTGTTTTATCTTTTTGATCTGAAGCCAGGACTGGGGACTCAGGGCTCGGGGCTCGGGCACCCACCCAGCCTGAGCCCCGGTGGCCTCTCCCTAGGGAGGGGCCGAGGGTCTGCCCTGTGTTCTCCGGTTACTTATTAACCAACTGGGAGCCACTCTGGAAACCGGCAAGCTGCTGGGGGAGTGCAAGCCCAAGATCAAGGGCAGGTGGCTGGGTCGCTCCCCAGCTGTGCCTGCAAACACCCCCACCTGGGGCTGGGCACTGAGGGGGGCACCCCAAAGTCCTCAGAGCAGTCCTGGGGGGCTCCAGACAATCCCAGGGCCAGCCCTCAGGGCTCTGCAGATGTAGGAGGGTCAGGGGCCAGCCTGGGCTGGGCAGGAGCAGCCCCCACTCCCCCTCAAAGGCACCAGGACTCTCTCCGGGACCAGGAGCAGCCCTGCCATGCCTCTGATGGGCGTCTTACCAGACACGGTTAGATCTCGATGCCTCTGTCTAATACTGTCTGGTAATGCCGTCTATCCAGGGCCCCATCACCGCAGGAGGACCACTCACCTGGGCGGTACCACTGCCCAGGGCTGGGGCTGGAGCCCTGGGCCAACTCCCCACCTGCAGGACGCTGGCTGCCTCTCCTGACAAAGGAGTGCCAGGCCCTCACAGCCCCTGGTACTACACTGAGGGTGTGGGAGCTGCAGGCACCTCCAGCCAGCACTCACGGGACAGAGGGGACCCTGAGCCCAACCTGGCCCTCAAGGCCCTGTCCACCTGTACCAGGCAGTGGAAGACAGGCATGAAGAGCCCTGCCCCACCCCCAGTGTTCCCCAACCTAGAGAAGGGGAGAAGACCCAGGGTGGGTCCTCATTACAGCCTCTCAGTACCACATGTCCTAGGCAGCATCAGGACCCCAGACTCCTGGGAAGGGCCAGAAGCAAGCCCTGGGGTGGGGTGCAGTTGACATCTCCCTCCACCGGGCTGAGTGGCCCATGGACCCACGCCCAGGGCTGAGGTGGTCAGGGGGCACTGCCCAAGTGCCAGGCCTGGTGAGAGGGAAGCCGTGCCTTCTCGGCTTGCCCACTGCCCTTCTCTCAGCAGCCCCAGCTCCAGGGTCAGGGAACTGCCCCCCCAACCAAGCTGGGAATCACACCATGCCACCTTGCGCCTTTGTCCCCTGAGAGTGAAGCGGGCCCTGAGTAAAGCTGTCAGGGCAGTTGGTTCACTGCGGCGTGACATGTGAGAAGGATTCAGAGTGAGCCCCACTCTGGAGTGCGACGTCCCACCCCTCAGACCTGGAACCTGAGCCACTGATTTCCAACCGCTCCTCCAGAACACAGGCTGCACCCAGACGCCACACACCCAGCCTGGCCAACCCCCTCGCATGCCCCGGTGTAGGGTGCACCTCGAGCTCCACCAGATGTCGCCTCCCTCTCTCCCCACAGCACTGTTGAGGCTGACACCCAGTCCTGCTGAGTGTCCCCAGACCCCTCCTCCGTACCCTCCCTTTGGAGACACTGGGAACAACTGCAAAGATCTCTGTACAATAAACCCCATGACTTGAAAACCTTGATTCTGATCACCTCCTTGTTCTAACCGTACAAAACTGACCCAGAGCTTTGCAAAGGGCCCTGCTGTAGACAGAGCCCTACTGTGAGCTCAGAGAGCCCGCAGCCCCAGCCACAGGAGAGGCCCCCCCCCATTCTTCCCCCCCCCCCCCCCCGCTTTCTCCCTCCCCCTCCCTCCCTCACTGAGTCTGTCCTGCCTCTTCTGTGGGCAACGCAGTTAGAGACATTGAGATGCAGGAAAGCCCCCAGCAGGAACCACAGGGATGAGTGGTCACAGGGCAGAGTTTTCCTGAGCACTTGGTGCCACCATGTGGGCAGGGTGTCACAGCCCCAGAACCTGGCTGTGGTGGGGCTCCATCCCAGGGGAACCCAGGGACAAGGGCAGTGGCCTGGCAAGAAGGTTAGACTTCCAGGCCCCTGGAAGGGAGGGAAGGAGCCACTGGGGGAGGTCTGTAGGCTCTGTGCTCCTACCAGGCCTTCAGGAGGAGGGTATGAGCCCACCAGGCCCAGGTGTCCTCACATGGCCACCACAAAGCTGGAACAGGGATATAAGCAGTCCTGTGTGGTATGTACCCCAGAACATATCTTCCAAAGGTCAGGGTGCTCCTGCAATGAGGCTCCCCTCCCAGCCCAGGGGCCCCTGCTCCGTCTGGGGAGCATCAAGACTAGTGAGGGTGAGTGCATCCTTCCCACCCAGGGTCAGCAGCTGTTGGCCACCTGCCCAGACCAGAGGTTGGCAGGGCCAAGGTGCAGGCCCAGGCTCAGGGCGTTTGCCCACTCAGCCCAGGCTGGGTGGAGCAGCTCCCTGGCCAGCCCTACTGCAGCCCCCTCAGGCTGACCTATGGCTACCTAGGACAAGGATCTCCTGGGCCATCACTGCACTAGGGTGCAGAAGCTACAGTCAGGCAGGGTGGGCTAGGGCCACCTCAGGAAGCAGTCTCCCACCCACAGAAATAGGAAAGGGTAGAAAACCCCAGCCCCACCCCACCCAGCCCCTGGGCTCTGAGGAATGGAGCCTCTCCAACCCCAGCCACACCTGGCACCAGGCATGGGGGGACTCTGTGTGGGTGAGGGAGCCCCAAGAGTCGGCAGTAGCAGCACCCAGCCGGGCCCCTGGAAGGGCCTAGGGGGCTGTGTGAATGTCCTGTGCAGCTACAACAACCAGCCTGGACTGGCGACTCTCTCTCCCAAGGCCTCGTGGCTGGCTGTCCTGCTACCAGGGCTCTAGGGGACCTACCTACCTCCTGAGCTCCTGAGGGCTCAGGTCCCTGGGCTTGTGGCTGCACCACCTCCATCTCTGCCCCCAACTCCATCTCTCTTCCCTCTGCCTCCCCCCGAGGAGGATGCAGGTCATTGGATTTAGGGCCCACATGGTTGATCCAGGACAGTGTCATCTGAGATCTAACGTAATCACATCTATGCAGATCTTTCTTTCCCAATGAGATCACATTTGCAGGCCCCTGGGCTTAGGACATGGTCCTGTCTCTGGGGACAGCCCCTTCAAGGGACTCCTGTGACCCTCACAGGGCCCACATAGCTGGAGGCTCAGTTTGGAGGCAGGGGTCACACCTGTCCCAGGAGCCTCAGCTGGGAGCACTTCACAAACTGGCACCCAGGGCCTCTCTGAGCTAGGCGTGGAGTCAGCTCCTAGGACACTGGGCTGGGGCTCAGGGGCCCCTGAGAAGGCTCAGAGATGACCCTGGGAGGATTGGGAGGAAGGGGAAATGGGAGACAGGGCCCCAGGTTATCCCCGGGGGGTGCTCCCAGCCCCAGCTCCCCAGCCTCCTGCCACCCAGCGTGACCCCCCCATCCCCACTTGACTCCTGTCAGGTCCTTGGCTGGGTGCTGCCCATCCACTAAAGCCCTTGTTTACCTCTGGGCCCAGCCGGATCACAGTTGCCAGGTAATGGTTGCTGGGAAACAGTTGCCAGGTCACCACTGTTGTCTCCCAGCAGAGGGCTCCCGAGACTTGTTGGGCAGGTAAGAGAGACAGGAGGGCCACTAGCCCGGGTCCTGGCTGGGGCTGAGGCTTGGCCTTGCCCTCTGGTGCTTCTCTCCAGCCCCTGCCCAGAAGCAGAGGAAGGAGGAAGGGACCAGACAGAGACTGGGGTGGACGAGTCTTTGGCGCAGGAGCAGGTCTGTCTCCTAGAAGTAATCCCCGGGAGGGCAGCCTCCTGAGATCCACGGGGACTGACTCCGTCCCCAGAGTGCCGCTGGCCGGGGTGCCAACCCCCCCCCCCCCCCCCGAGCCACTTCAGCACTTCCTGAGCCCTGTGTGGCCGACTGTGAGCTGCTGGGTGCTTCTAACCATGGACTCTGACCTGCAGGCATCTTCCTCAGGGTTAGAAGCCTCTCCTCCCCATCAGACCAGGGTGCGGTTTCCTGCCTTTTTATCTGACCAGGTAAAAAGTTTACCTTAAATTTCTTACAGAGCTGTGAGCCTTCTGCCTGGTCCCTTGCCCTGGGTTTTCGCTCAGTCTTTGCCAAACGTCCTGCTCAGGACCACGCCCTGCTCTGAGGACTAGTTGCTCCCCCGTCCGCCCCTCTGGTGTAAGCCTCCTTTCTGGACTTGGGTTGCATCCTTCAGAGACCCTGAGCTGCAGTCCCCAGAGGAGGGCAGGCACTCCCTTCAGCTGTTCCCACTGCCAGTGCCCCTGCCCAGTCCCTTTTAAAAGGTCTCACGTCAATGTGCATGACAAGAGTGATGGCGATTCGCAGTTTACTGACCATAGGTGAAATTAATAAGTGCCTGATGTTAGAAAGGCTGGGTGGCACGTAAGGCTTGTGGAAAACAGACCCCACACAGGCACACTCAGCCCCTCTGCTGTTGCCTGGGCTGTGGAGAGGTGTCCAGGGGCAGAGGGCAGGGCTTCCGGGCCACTCTCCTGACCACCTCGTGTTGTTGCTCCAGAGTGACCGTGGCCCTCACTGTCACCCCCTATGCAGACTTCTGGCCACAGGGCCAGGCAGCTTGCCCTGGTGTCCTCTCTCTCAAGTCTCCTGACTTGTCCCCACACCCTGGCTTTCCTGGAACTGTCCAGTGGGCACCCCAGCCCTACTGGTACCCGCTGGGCCACAGGCACCACCATCCCAACGTGCTCCTGGGTGTCTATGAGTCCAGCCATCTCTCAGTCAAAGAACAGGCACAGGGCGGTCGGGCAGCAGTGGGTCGACTTCTCCTGGGCCCCTCGCTCCTGGGATTCACTGGCCAGATGGGGAGTTCCTCCCAGCGGGCTGGAGGGCTCTGGTGGCCCTGCAGCTGCTCCCTGAAGGTCCAGCCATCTCCACTCCCCCGTCTTCTCTCTCAACATCCCCTGGCTCCGAGGCCGGTCCCTGGAGGTCTGTTATGGGGTCTGTCCTTCAGGCCTGGTCCTGGGTTCTCCTGCCCACGGGATTCCTCCCCTCTGAGTTCTGACCATGGCACTGAAGGCTTCACTCTCACGGGGTCCTTCCTGTTCTGGAAGCACACGACTCCTTCTGGCGGGGGCAGTTTCTCCCCCACCCCAGGCCTGCTCCCGGGGTGAACTGGCTGCTGAGGGCTGCACACCATCCCCTTTCCTCTGCTCACACCTGGGAAGCCACCCTCAGCCTCTTGGGGTCCTGTACCCCCAGCAGGGTTCCTCGGATCTACTTGGGTTCTGGGAACCAAATGGGAAGGGTCGGGGTCTCCTGGCCCGATTCTCTGCAGGCTGGCATCCCCAGCCTCTCCCAAGGAGTCTTCCCGTTCTGTGTGGGGTCTCAGGGTGCTCCCAGCTTCCGCCCTCATAGACTGGGCTGCTGCTCTCCCCGGCTCCCTGGGCTTCCCTCCGACTGGGGTTTTACTTCTTTCCTCCTCACGGGCACTTTGTGTGGGCAGACACACAGCCTGCTCAGCTGAGAGTCTCGCTGACCTGCCCCACCTGGGGGCCTAGACTCGTGCCCCAGTCGTGGGTCCTGTGCTGTCCCTCTGTCCTGCCCACCTGCTGTAGCCTATGGCTGGCATTCTGTTACGCTTCAGAAAGCCCTTGCCTCCCAAACTGGGTTTGCTTTGTTTTCTCAATGGTGAGGCAGAAGAACTGTCAAGGAAACGACTAGAACTTCCCTGACATATTCCCAAATTGGCCACATGTGCAAATGGGGTAGCATCCAGGGATCTGGGGCAGGCAGGGCAGTGGCCTGCATGCAGAGGGGCCATGAAGGGCAGCAGTACGAGCTGGGAGGCCCCCTCTGGACCTCTGTTCCTCCAGACGGACACTCCCACCCCGGCAGGCCTGACGGCCACTGTCTTTACAGCCAGCATCGGGGCTGTGTGCTGAGAGGCCCGGACAGTCCCTGCAGCAGAGGACTCGCCCAGCAGAGACAGAGATGGCCTCCCCCGCACTGGCCACCAGGCCCCTCAGCCACCATGGAGATGGGAGCCAGCCACAAGCAGACGCCACAGTGCGGGACTCAGGGAGGCGCCCTTCCCCGGGCAGGGTGGGCCTGGCCGCCTGCCCCATCCAAGGGCTGAGGCCTCGGGCTGCCCGACGGGGGGCGGGGGCCGCATCTTCCCCACGGGGCACTCACCCCCGTGTCCCCATGCCCGCGCCCCACAGCTGCACCCGCTTCATCCACCGCCGGGGTCAGCCTGCTCGGACCCACATCTGCTCCAAGAGACCCAAGCGGCCCAGGATCCGGCGGTGCCGGGCCCGGGCGCCGAGTGAGTGCGGAGCCCTGCCTGCGGCTGGCTCACCCCCCTCGCAGCTCCTTCCTGGGACAGCACTCCACCCTCAGGGGGCAGATCTCAGGGGAGGGGACAAAATGCAGGGATCGGGGCTCACAGGCAGAGAGGGAGCACTGCTCTCCACCGCCTGAGCGCTCTGCCTGCCCACGTGCCACCCCGGCAGGCAGACACAGTGGGCACTGCCCCCTCACCCTGCCCCGGCAGCTCCCATCTCTCCCAACTGACCATGGCTTCTTGGGTCACCCATGATGTCATCATGGACATTGTGACCCCTGCCCTCTGGGTACCTCCCGGCACCATGTCTGCTCAAGGCGGCAGCCTCAAACCCCAGCCCCTCCCTGCACAGAGCTCCTGCCCGGTTGGTAAGGAGGGTAGAAATAAGGCTCCCTGCTGGCCCTGCCCCACCCCACGCCTGGCCCTAGAGGGTGGTAACTCATCCCTCTGGCGCCTACTGGCCCCCAGGCTCCTGGTCAGGTCTCTGCTGGGCTGAGGTGGGGCCCAGAGAGGCTGGAGTGAACACCCAGGAGCCCCTGAAATGGGCTGGGGTTGGAAAGGCAGAGTGGGGACCTCCTCAACAGCACTGACCCACCACTCCCCAGGCTGGGCCCATGAGAGACAGATGGGGAGCAGTGGCAAGGAGGGTCTCCCGCCTCAGCTGAGCCAGCAGGACCAAGATGCAGGTGGGCGACAGATGACCCTGAGCGGGCAGGGAGAGCCCTGTGTTCCAGGAACCTGGCCTCTGACCAGCTGCTTGCCTGCAGACCTCCTGGACAACACAGATGCTACCCGGCCCCCAGTGCCCTCCCCAGAGGGGCCCCCACTGGAGGGGGACAAGCAGTCGCCCAGCACCGGGCAGGGCCCCTTCTTCTACATCGGAGGCACCAACGGGGCGTCCATGTGAGTGGGGCCGGTGGCCCTGTCTGCCCCACACCCTTACCTCCGGGTCTGCCCCACACTGATGCCAGCAGTCCCCGCGCCGTCCTCCGGGGACCCTTGGCCCCGGGGTCACTGCTGCCTCCACCCACAGAGTCAGTGCCTACTGCAGGAGCAGAGGCTGGCAGCGCACGCACGACGGCCGGCGCGAGGACTGCAAGCTCAAGTGGTGTGAGATCAAGTGCCGGGACAGCTACTGCAGCTTCCGGGAAGGTGGGGGGCACCCCAGCGGGGGGCGGGGCCTCTGGGTCCTGCGGCGCTGCCCACATGCCACCCCTCCTTGTCCTGCCAGGCCAGCAGCTGCTCTTCCAGCTCCCCAACAACAAGCTGCTCACGACCAAGATCGGGCTGCTCACGGCCCTGCGGGAGCACGCACGCGCACTGAGCAAGGCCAACAAGGTGCCGCCGGGCGGCCAGGCCAAGTGAGCCCCCCGCCTGCTGGGCGTCACCCCGCCCTCAGTGTACCCCTCCTCTGTCATCCACCTGTCCCTGAAAGACCCGGTCCCCCAGACCAGGCGCCCCCTGCTCTCCCCACCCGCGGCCCCTCAGGGCTGACCCCCCTCTGAGACGCCCCCCCCCTCTGGACTTGAGCATCCTCCCCCCATCCACCATGCTCTGGCCACCACTGCCTCCACCCCACCCTGCCACCCCCAGGAATCTTTGTCCTCCCACACAGCTACGCAGGTCCCTCGGGCATGACTGCTCACCACCCACCCCTGCCACTCATCCTCCCTGCCCATTCCCCTCTCCGGCCATGTTCCTCCATCTCCTGCCTTCAACCCCACCGCACAGCCCAGCCCTCCACCCAGGAGCCCGGGTCCTCCATCCACTTCCCAGTTCAACATTCATCTCACATGCCCCACCGTCCGCCCCTCGTCACCTGCCTGTCAAGCAGACAGCCAGAGGTGTCCATCCACCATCTGCTCATCCACGACTCATCTTAACATATGTCCAGTGTCCATTTCCCACTCTTCTATTGGCATCCACCTGTGCTCACAGCATCCATCTGTCCAGCAGACCACCTGCCTGCCCCCGTCTACCTCCATAGCCAGCCGTCCTCCATCTCTCCAGGCCCCCATCCATTCTCCACTGTGGAGGTGGTCACTCAGGCCAGGGCCTGTGTCCCTCTCTGCAGATGTGGAAAGGACACGACAGTGACCCTCGAGGAGCCCACGTGGATCAGTCCGGGATGCCTCGGACTACAAAGGTAAGTGCACCCAGTTCTGATCCTGGGCTCACAGCAGGGTGCCACCAGAAGGGATTGGGGCAGGTGGCAGGGCTGGGTGGGCAGGGCCTCCAGCCTCTGCTGCAGAGAGGCCAGTGGTGTGGTGGCCAGAGGCATGCCCTGGCCAGGCAGAGTGCAAAGGCCCTGCAGGGACGCACTGGGTCATCTGGGGCCTAGGTCAGGCCCCCAGAGTACCGCCAAGCCCCAGGGCAGGGGACAGCCCTGCCACGCTCTCTCCACCTCCCTGCTCTCCCAGGGCTCTGAAAATGGAAGATTTTTTCCCAGAGACCTACCGTCTGGACGTCAAGGATGAGAGACAGACCTTCGTCACCCTGTTTGATGGTGAGAGGCTGCAGACAGCCAGATTCAGGGGGACAGCAGCCTGTAGGGGGCAGTGCACGTCCTGGGGGCATGGAGGAGTCTGGGGGGGACGGCTGGGGAGCGGGGAGGGTCAAGGCGCTGGAGGGGTGTAGGGGCAGGGCCATGGATGGGGGGGCCCTGGTGGGCGGGGTCCAGTGGAGGCAGGGGCCTCAGCTGCCTCTCACCACACAGAGCAGGGTGGGGCCCCTGTCTGGTCAGGCTGAAGGTGAGAAGCGGGGAGCGTCATGGCCAGGTCCCAGGGAGGTGACTAGAACAGCTACAGTGTGGTCAGGGCCATGGCAGGCCCAGGATGGGGGTGGGGTGGGGCCAGAGGCTCAGGGGGTGCTCCCTGCAGAAACCCAGATATGGATCTGCAAGCCCACGGCCTCCAACCAGGGCAAGGGCATCTTTCTGATCAGGAGCCAGGAGGAGGTCAACGCCCTGCAGGCCAAGGCCCAGAGCACGGAGGACGACTCCATCTACCACAAGACGCCCTTTCGGGCACCTCAGGCACGGGTGGTGCAGAGGTGTGGGCGTGGGCTCCAGGAGGGGCCTGGGTGGGGCTGATTCAGATTAGAGGGTACCTGTGAGGGCTGTGGGGGTCAGCAGGGCTACAGAGCAGTCCCCAGATACAGGCTCCAGGACCGGGTAGGTGGGGAGGACTTGGCCAGTTGCCCCTCTCGCGACAGCTCCTCTACTCCCCAGCCAGCTGTGGCTTCTCTGCCTCCAGGCAGGTCCAGCCCCTCAGCACCCCAGGGGCAGGGTTGGGGGCTGGCCTCAAGAAGGTCCCATGGACCTCAGCCTCTGCCAAGCCGGGACTCAGCTCTGGCCACAACTGCTGTCTGTCGTCCCCGCTGTCCAGTCAGCCCTCCTGGGCGCTGCTCCCTGCCTCTGGTCTTGAAGACCTGAGCTCCCCTGCTTGGAATGTCCGCTCCCTTCTGCCCCAAGCCACTCACTCTTCATGGCTCTCAGTAGCCTCCTTCCCCTGCAGGCAGCCCTCCCGCAGGGGCCCAGTCCATCCTGACTCCAGGCTCCTAAAGGAGGCTGTGGCCAAGGTCTGCAGGCCATGCCCTTCCTTCTTCCCAACCCCCGGACCAATGTCCCCTGCCCCTGGACATGTGCCCAGCCAGAGGCCACTCCCATGACAGGGGAGTGTTGGGAGAAGGCAGGGGGAGTGGGGACGCCGGCCAGGCTGGCAGGGCAACTCAGCCCCAGTGGCCGCATGGGGTGCCCAGGTACATCCAGAACCCGCTGCTGCTGGACGGGAAGAAGTTTGACGTGCGCTCCTACCTGCTCATCGCCTGTGCCGTGCCCTACATGGTGTTCTTTGGCCATGGCTATGCCCGCCTCACCCTCAGCCTCTACGACCCCCATTCCAGAGACCTCAGTGGCCACTTGACCAACCAGGTAAGGAGCCCTCGCAGGTGAAGGTCTTCCCTGAGGCATGGGGTGGGACGAGAGGAAGGCTCCCACCTGCCTCTCACAACAGCAGGGCTGCTGCCCTCGGCCCCCAGCTTGGCTCCGCCTGGTGGGCTAGAGAAGGGCCTCAGGGGAGGACTGCAGGGCAGGAGGCCCCTTTGAGAACCCAGGGACCTGCTGGCTGAAGGAGTCTTGGTGGACAAAGGTGTTTGCAGGAGGGTCTCCATAGGCAGGTGCCCGAGGGCCTGGGGCAGCAGGGTCAGGGCCTCCTCAGTGGAGGCGGCCTCCAGGCCCTTATCTTTTCCCCAGTTCATGCAGAAGAAAAGCCCCTTGTACGTGCTACTGAAGGAGGACACGGTGTGGAGCATGGACCACCTCAACAGCTACATCAACGACAAGTTCAGGAAGACCAAGGGCCTCCCCCGAGATTGGGTCTTCACCACCTTCACGGTCCGTCCGCAGCTGTATCCACTCCTGCTGTGGGAAGGGAGGGTCGCTGAGGTCGGGAGCTGTGCGTGTCCACCTGGGCTGAGCTGGGCGTGGGGCTGGTCACGGGGCCTGGGGCTGTGAGCACTGAAGCTCTGTCTGCATGTGTGTTCCGAGTGATGCTTCTCAAAGCTGCTGACAGCTGCAGCCACGGCCCAGCGGCCCCCAGCAGCCCAGGCAGAAGAGCCCGATGTGGCCCACCTGCAAGGGTCCCCGCAGGGCCGGTGATGGCAGCACACCTTCAGTCACAAGACCACAGTGAGAGAGCTGACAGTTCATGACTCGCAGGGCAACTAGAGGAGGTCACAGGCCGGAGAGGATAGGACTTCCCTGCTTACGGGTCACCTGGGAGAGGTGTCTGTTCTTGGGAGTAATTTGTCTACTGTGCGCTTCGCAGGAGCCTGGCAACAAGGGCCACAGAGGAGTGGGTGGGAGGCGGGTGAGCACCAGCTCCACAGAGGGACCGGCCTCTCCTTGCTCAGCCTGGGCTGGCCAAAGCGGAGGTCAGCTGCTGCCTGGCTACCACTCCTAGTCAGGGCCCTGTGGACTGTGGAGGTCACCAGTGTGAGGTGACCCCAGTCATTTTCCCCTGCCCCCCAAATGCACACAACTCAGAATCCACCATTTAAAGTGCACAGGGCACTGGTTTCCCACATCAGGCTGCGGTTGCCCCACTGTCTGACTCCAACGCTGTCACCCAGAGAGAAATCCGGCAGTGGTCCTCCCACCCTGGCAGCCGCTCACCTGCTGTTCTGGGTGTCCCTCAGTGGGTCACCTGTGGCCTCCCTCCTGGGTGTCCCTCAGTGGGTCACCTGTGGCCTCCCTCCTGGGTGTCCCTCAGTGGGTCACCTGTGGCCTCCCTCCTGGGTGTCCCTCAGTGGGTCACCTGTGGCCTCCCTCCTGGGTGTCCCTCAGTGGGTCACCTGTGGCCTCCCTCCTGGGTGTCCCTCAGTGGGTCACCTGTGGCCTCCCTCCTAGGTTCTGCACCTTGCTGCCCACCTGCTGTGTTCCCTCTCTGGCATCCTAGTGTGAGTGGACCTCGGTTGTCCACTGAGCCCAGGCCGCTCTGCTCTGTAATTGCCGTCCTGAGTCAGTGTGGTGCAGACACAGATGCATTTCTCCTGAATGGCCGAGGAAGGCGCTGTGCCCAAGGGTGACGTGCTCACTTTGGGGGACAGTCCCACAGTGACTGCAGCGTTGGACATTCCCAGCAGCAGCTTGGCAGGCTCCAGCTTCTGCGTCCCCTCACCGTCAGCTGCTGTTGTCTGGTTTTCACACTCTGCTGTGTCCCTGCTGGGTCTCACATGGCGCTGATGGCTACTTCCCTAGTGACAATGACCTTGAGCATCTTCTGTGCTCACCGGCTCCCTTCTCTAGGGAATGTCTTTGGAGCCTCTCCGTGTTCTCTATTCAGCTGAGACACTTCTTTAGATGTTTTGAATACCAGAACCTTGCCACGTACATGATCCGAAAATATTTTCTCTCGTTTTGTTGTCTTCACTTTTTTGATAATGTCCTTGTTCGTAAAAGCCTTTAGTTTTTGCTTTGTTTGGTGCTGGGAATTGAACTCAGCACAAGTTGCGTGCCGAGCACACACTGTACCGTTGCCTTACACTGAATAAAGTCTAAAAGCTTTTACTTTTTAAATATTTATTGTGGTACTGACGATTGAACCCAGGGGCACTTTACTGTTGAGTGGCATCCCCAGACCCTTTTAAAATTACTTTTATTTTGAGACAGGGTCTCATTAATTTGCAGGAGCAGGATTACAGGTGTGCGTCACAATGCCTGGCCAAAAGCTTTTTAATTTTGATGGAGGCCCATTTTATCTATTTTTTCTTCTGGTTCTTCATGTTTTGGATGTCATATCTAAAAAACTATTTCCAGGTTTGGGTGCAACTCAGCAGTAGAGCACTTACCTACATAGGGTGCTTGGTTTGATCCCCAGAACCACAATGAACAAAAATCATCAAATTTTTTGTTTTCCTCTAAAGGTAATGCAGTCTTCCCCCATTTTCTGGATAACTGATTTTTGTGCACAGAGGGAGGTAGGGATCCAGCCTCCTCTGCTGGCATGTGGCTTCAAGTTCTCCCTGTGCTCTGTTGAACAGACTGTCCGGCCCTCACTGAATGGTCTTTGGGTGGGCTCCCTTCTGGACTCTCAGCTCTGTTGATGCATGCAGTGACTGTCCTTAGGCCAGCACCACACCTTTCAGTCACTGCAGCTCTGCTGTGAGTCTTGAAATCAGGAGTGTGAACCTTTCCATGTTGTCTTCTTCAAGATGGTTTTGGCTTTTCTGAGGTCCCTTGCGATTCCATATGAATTTAAGGATTCGTTTTACATTCCTGGGAGGCAGTCCATTGAAGTTGGAATAGGGGTTACATTGAGTCTATAGATCACTTTGGGTAGCACTGACATCATAACAATATTTAGCTCTCCAACCCATGAACAGGGGAGGTCTTTCTACATTAGCTCTGGCGATGTTTCATAGTTTTCAGCGTACCAGTCTTTCACCTTCATAAATATTGATCATAGCCATGTTGTTATTTTGGATGACATTGTGAATGGAATCACTGTCTTAATATCTTCTTTGGATTGTCAAATTGATAGTGTGTGTGCATATTGACCTTGTATACTGCGACTTTGCTGAATTTATGAGCTCTGATTTTGTATGTGGATTTTTAGGATTGATACATATTATGAATATAGGGTCATGTCACCTGAGAATGGAGAGAGTCTTATTCTTTCTTTCAAATCTGGATGAATTTTGCCTCTTTCTGCCTAACAGTCCCAGGACCCCACTGGCCTCCTTGTCTTGCTCCTGAGCTGGGGTTTCCCACAGCTCCCTGATCATGCTGGGTTCCTTTCTTCCCCTGGTTTGCTCAGTGGTTTTATCATGGAAGGTGTTAAATGATGCCAGTCACTTTTCCTGATTGGGTGTTATTTCCCCTCACTCAGTGTGTTGTATTGCACTGTTAGCCTTTCTGTGCTGAAATACTCTTTCCTGGGGTAAATCCCACTTGATAGTGGGATGTAATCACTTAAATGTGCTACTAGACTTACTTTGTTTGCTAGTTTTTATTGAGAATTCTGTGTGTATGCTCATCAGTCTGAAGTTTTCTTGTTTTCTTCTGGTTTTGAGGCAGAGCACATCGGTCAGCTTTCTGTCTCTGTAACAGACACTGAGCTTTGTTTCCTGTGGCTTACAGTTTTAGAGGTTTCGGTTCATGTTCAGTTGGACCTTGTTTGGGGTTGGTTAATTTCAACTAATTTGTCTTTGAATACAGTCTATTAAAGACAACCTACTGCAGTTTTTTAAAAAATGCCTTCTGCCAACTCATTTGAGATTCTAACCCATTATATAATTATCAATAAGGTAGGATCTACATTTCTTTTTTCATACTCGGGATTGAACCCAGGGCACTTTACCATTGAGCTACAACCATGGCCTTTTCTATTTTTTTATTTTGAGACAGCCCAGGCTGACCTCAAACTTGCCATCCTCCTGCCTCAGTCTCCCAAGTCCCTAGGATGACAGGTGTGGCCCACTGTTCCCAGCTTATCACTCTTCAAACATTGTTTCTGCTCCTTTCTCTCCCCTCCTTCCAGGACTCCCACTATGCACGTGTCTGCTTGATGATGGTGTTCCACACCCAATATCTCCTTTTGTGTGTGTGTGTGTGTGGTGCTGGGGATTGCACCCAGGGCCTTGTGTATGCAAGGCAAGCACTCTACCAACTGAGCTCTATCCTTAGAGACCTACCACAACCAAGTCTCTAAGGCTTTATTTTTCTTCATTATTCTTTCTTTTCCTCAGACTGGCTAATTTAAGTTAAAAAAAAAAAAATTTGAGACTGGGGCCAGCCTGCACAACTTAGAGATACCTTGGCCCCAAACTCATGGGCTCGAGTGTGGCTGGGGCTACAGAAGCATGCCACCACCCCAGCACCAGTGGACACTCTAGAACTTCTACTTGCCTTCCTTCTGTCAATTAGATTTGTTCCACTATGTCCACTAATGGGAGATATTTTCCAAGGCTACTGCTGAGCTGGGAAACAGGAAGTGAAACTAATGAGGCGAGTCTGAATACTAGAGAGCTCCCCATTCTTAAAAAATATCTTTGGCTGTAGGATGGACATAATATTTTATTTTTTTAATGTGGCGCTGAGAATCGAACCCAGTGCCTCACACATGCTAGGCAAATGCTCTGCCACTAAGCCCCAGCCCAGTGCAGAGCTGCTCTGTGTTCTTGCCAAGATTTTGCATGTGCCATTGGTTGTCTTGTCCTGCTGTGAGTGAGCCATTCAAGGACAGAGATTTCCTGTTCCCTTCACCCTTGAATCCTCAGCCCTCCTGCCACACAGGAGGAAGTCCATGGGTTTGTTGAGTGAGTTTCTGGCTGTAAGCCTGTGACTCTCAGAGGATGGTGTGGTAGCGGAGCAGGTACAGGTGGGAGTGTGATTGACAGCTCAGGCTTGGGAGATGTCACCAGGACCCACAGGTCAAGACTGTGATCCTTCCCTGCTTAACCCACAGAAGCGGATGCAGCAGATCATGGCCCACTGCTTCCTGGCAGTCAAGTCAAAGCTGCAGTGTAAACTGGGGTACTTCGACCTCATTGGCTGTGACTTCCTGATTGATGAGAACTTCAAGGTGCTGTCCTGAGTGGATGAGGTTTGATTGGCAGGTGCAAGGAGGCACAGTCCATCTGTACACCTTGACCACACCACAGGCCCGTGGGTGCCCTCTGCAGTCAGACCCACCCTGCCTGTTCCCAGTCCCAGGGTGGTGTATCCATAAGGCTCAGCTCCTGCTGCAGCTGGGGCAAATCCATACCCCCTCCTCAGGACACCTCTGGACAGAGACCCTCAGACTGTCAAGGTGTCAGACCCATGGTCAAACAAGGGGATGGAGGTTACAGGGGAAAAAGCAATCTGCCCAGAGTCACTTGGCTTCATGGGAACCAGGGCCCCAGCCTCCTGCTGGCTTAGTGGTCTGTAGGTGGGTGGGTGAGTGGGAGGGTGAGTTGGGATGTTCACCAGTGTCCTGCCCAGGTGTGGCTACTGGAAATGAACTCCAACCCTGCCCTGCACACCAACTGTGAAGTCCTGAAGGAGGTCATCCCTGGTGTGGTCATGGAAACCTTGGGTGAGCCTCAGCATCCCGACCCCACAGCTAGGTGGAAGGGACCCTCTCCCTGCCTGCCCAGTACTGTGCTCTATCCTGCCCTCTCCCAAGTTCAGATCCCACAAATTAGCTCTCCAGCAGGCCCAAACCCTGCATCACGCCCCAACCTCCCTACTAAGGTTGTCCCCCTACACCTCACCCCGAGCTGGGTCCCACCCTTCGAGGCCCCCTCTCCTCCCCTGCCCCCAGAACCCCAGGCAAGTTCTGGGGAGGCTGGACCTCCTTTCCACCCCCGCCAAAGCCCCACTCTTCCCACTCCTCCCCCAGACCTGGCGCTTGAGACCTTCCAGAAGAGCTTACGGAGTCAGGGGATGATGCCCCTGCTGTCGCAGCGCCGCTTCGTGCTCCTGCACAACGGAGAGGCCGACCTGGGGCCGCGCCTGGGGGGCTCGCGCACCTTCCCCCGCCGGCCTCCACCGCCCCGGCCAGTCTGCGAGGCCGCGTCCTCCGCGCCCCCCGCGCCCCCCGCGCCGCGCGCCGCAGACAGGCCGGGCGCGCGCAGGCCCGCGCCTCCCCGGGGCGCGCCTCCCCGGCCCCTCTCCGCCCCGCGCCGTCCGCGGCCGCCCGGCATCGGCGCGGGCGCTGCCGGCACCCAAGGCGAGGAGACCGCGGCCCCCGGCCCCGAGCGGCCGCGCGTGGACGGCAGGGACCCGGCGCGGGAGCCCTCCCCGGAGCCGCCGGAGGAGGAGCGCCAGGAGCGGGGGAGCGTCAGCCACCGCGGCTCCTAGACCTCGGCCCCCGCGCCCCGCGGTCCCCGCGCGCGGCCGCGCCCTCTGGGGACCTATAAAGGCTACTTTGTGACAAACGCGGCCTCCACAGAGGGTCTGGGGGGCCGCCGCCCCGGCCCGCGAGCCGACCCACCAGGGCGACCCGCGTCCTTCCCGCTGCCCACCAACCCCGACTCCACCGCCTTCCTTAGGGCGAGGTGGGGGCTGCGGGAAGGAGGCGTGCCCGGCCTGGCCTCCCTCATGGCGCAGCCCACCGGCTCCTGATCTCCTGCCCAGGGCCCTGTGCTGCTCATCCCCCAGGACCGGCCTGCAGCCCTCATGACCCCCAACTCCAGCCTGGCACTGGGATCCGCCACAGTGAGGTTTCTCCAGGAAAGGTCTGGATCCCCACGGACTCTTCGGAACCCCTCTGGATTGCTCTTCTGGGGCTGCCCATGGCTCGCCCCGACCCTGCCCAGCACAGCTTTTATCTGGGCCTTGGACACCAGGCAAGGGCACTCTCCATAGCCCCACAGCCCCCCTTCCCCACAGAGGCCCAGACCTTGGAGGTGAAGGGCCCAGGGCTTTTGGTAGTGGTCCCGGAAGAATGTGGGGTCAGCACTGGCCAGGCCCCAGCAATCCTGAGGCCTCCCACACTACTCCCCGTGGGCCTGGGATTTGAGGAGAGAACTCCAGCACTCTGGGCCCTGAGGTGTCTAGGCCCTCCACCCAGTGGCCAAGGCATTACCTTGCCGGCGTAGGAGGCTCCCCTCTCCAGGGGTCCTGCAGGCCCCCAGCTTGCACACACTTCTGCTTGTGCTACCCCAACTCCAAGTGGTCGTGGCCAGGCATCAAATCCTCCTGAGCTGCCCCACTGCTGACCTTCCCTTGTCCAACAGAGGAGCCAGCTCCACCCCAAATGCAGAGTGGCTGCTTTCTCTCTGTCTGCATTGGAGTGATGGAAGCATCTGAGGGGGCCAGAGAACCTGTCTTGAGGCGCTGGCTCCCTACCCCTTGCAGGCAGGGCTGTTGCCATCCAGGGATGCAATTCCATGTCACCACTAGAGGGCGCTGTCTGCCACTGTTTCTGGCCAGCATACACAGGGACCCGTGCAGCCAGGAACAGACAGGGACAGGGGCTCAAAGAGGTAAAGTGAACCCCCCCCCAATCACAGAGCCCCTGGTCGTGGAGACCCTGGGGGTACACCTGTGGTTAGCCCATGCCACAGCTCCCATACACACTGCCTGCCCTGTCCTGGGTGCTCTATCCAACCCTGACCCAAGTCTAGTCACCCTGCTGCTGTGGCCCACAGCCTGGAGTCCCACCTGCTAGGCAAGAGCACACAAGTGTTCCTGTGGGAAGGGCCCAGCTCTGGAGTCCACCAAGGCCAGGGAGGGGCAAAGACCCTTTGAGGCCATATTGCCATAGCTCCTGGCTACTGCAGCCATGTCCCCTTAGGGTCACCTCTTGCTCTCTCCCTCTGCTCTTGTCACTGAAACCCCTGAGCCTTGGTGCCTTATAGGCCTCTTGCCCACTCTAGCGCCCAGCCCAAGTTGGGGTTCTGTTCCATGGTGGCCTCACTACTGTCACAGAACACTAAAGCACTCCTCACCTCCCACAGTTGGGCCATTGACCTCAGGTTCAGGGGCCTCAAGATGTCAGCAGAGGTGACAGAGCCCTTGGGAGGTGCTCCCCTGCTGCCTTGGGGACATGAGCCTGCACTAGACCTGTTCTGAGAAGGGCCCACTGGCAGTGCTTGGCCCTGTTCCTGATGAGCTCCCCAAAGGCCAGGACTGTATCTGGCAGCCCTGAGTGCCCAGATGTCAATAAAGGATGTTTCCTGAGATTCCCTGCTCCTTATTCGTTCCACAGGAATGACAGCCACATCCCGCCCCACGGGGCCCTCCCCAGCTCCTCCCAGCCCACATGCATGCTTTGAGGTGCCCTCTAGTCCAGGACTGCAAGGGGGGTCCCAGGGAGAGGTGGGCTGCGGAGCCCTGAGCCCTGGGTGTCTGGCAGGTGTGAGGTCTTTAATTCAGGCAGAAAGAACCAGCAGGGTCAGGGGACCTCACAGACCTGCTGCTGGAGAGGTGACCCTCCCTATCACACTCCCTCTTTCTCCCTCTCTCCTCTGCCCACTCCTTTTCCCTCCGTCTCTCTTCCAGGGCTAAATTCTGGGGTCCTGCTGGTGGGCAGGGAATTCAAGAAGTGTCCTCTACCAGCAGAAAGTATAGGGAGTCAAGTGGCCCCGAGGCCTGACCCAGGCTCCCATCCCTGCAGCCCACAGGGGCCGACCAGGACAGACCCTCACAGGGCACACACTGGGGCCTGCCTCAGCCAGGGCTACTGAGCACCTGGGGTCAGCCAGACTAAGGTCTATTGGGGCTGTCTGCTCACCCACCCCTAAGCCCCTTTCCCCTTGGAAATATCTGGTGGGATGGGGGGCAGAGGCCAGAGCAGCCCTTGACCTGAATCACCATTTCTGGAAAGCACCCCAAATCTTGGAGCTTTCTGGAAAAATGAGGCGATGGGTGAATGTCTGCCTGCCTGACCCAGGAGGGGGTGAGCAGCTGGCTGAGGGGCAGCCCCTCAAGAGTGAGCTGTCCTCTGGTAGGGAGGATGGGACAGTGCCTATCTGATCACGTGGGGGCACATCCCAGCCACTGGGGCTGCCAGGCCCCGCCTGCCCTCTAAGGCCCCTCCAGTTGTTCTGAGACTTGGGCTGGGGGCAAGGGCTGGTGGCCAGTTCTGTCTAGCAAAAAAGTCTTTTCCCCATCCTCACCTTAACTCTCTCCAACTGGAAGGAATCTCACCCTTAGTTTGCGGTCCTACCCTGCCTGAATGCAGATCTCAGTGAAGGGAGGTGTCTCTTTGAGAAAGGTGAGTGGGTGGAGCTGGGCTGGCAGGCACCAACTGTGGCCGGAAGCACTTCTGGGAACAGAGATGGCCTCTGGGGCCTTATCTGAGGCTGAACAAAACCTACCAACTGTGGGGCGGCTGGGGAGAGTTGAGGCCAGGGGAGCTGCGGTTTTCCGGAAGAGCTGGAGAGCCTCCTATGGGAGGGGTTGGCCTGGGCCGCCTCGGGGGTGGGGGGGCAAGCGTGTCCCCCCGCCAGCCAGCCTCACCTGCTCTCCCACCCCAGCCCCTCTGGGTCTCCATGCGCCTCCAGGCAGCCCTGGGCTCTGCCCCCACACCTGGATCTCACGCAGGTGGACCCGGGCCAGGCAGGGGCTGAGGGGGGACAGGGAGTGACGCCTGCCGAGAGCACGGAGGGGGCTGGGCCGGCAGCGGAATCCCCCACCTGCTCTGCACAGACAGCCTTCCGCCCCCACCCCAGTGCTGTGCTGACGTTTGGCCCAGTCGCCCCCACGGGGGCCGCCCCCCAGGGGTTTCCAGCTGAGTCAGCCCTGTGTAACCTTGGCGGACCTCGGTGCTTTCTGGGGACACCCCCAGAGGTGTCCTGAGGGGAGCAAGGGTGGGGTCCATGGACCTGCAGGGGCGCAGTGAGCCCAGAGAGCCCCCCAGTGCCCCTTCCAGCTGTGCCAGGCCTTGTTGGCCCAAGAGTTTACGTTGCCTGATCTGCCTCACTCCCTCACCCTGGGGTGAGGTAGGCTCCCGGCAGCTCCCAGAGCACAGAGAAGGTGCTGGTAAAAATGCTGATGCGGTGTCTTAATAAATGGGTGACCAGAGGTAGATGACCACTGTCCACTATCCAGCACGTCCCCAGCTGTCCCTGGGCTTTTCATGTTCTGGGTCCTCTTGTCATCCTCTCCCACCAGTCTAGGCATGCTTTGGCCTTCAGTCTTTCCCAGGAGCCTGTGTGCTGGGGGCCTGACACCCCAGATTGCAGGTCACTTACCTGCTGTGGGCTGGGCCCACTGCCCACTGCCACTGGGAGCTGAGGGGGCTGAGGGCAGATGGAGATGGGGAACGCGTAGGGGGTTGAGGGCAGTGGCCAGGTATGCACATGCCCCAAGGTGCTGCTAAGACTGGTCCCCACTGGTCTGCCACTCCCCGGACAGCCTTGCCAAGACATCCCTATCAGATCTCTCCGGTAGCAGCTGCAGCTGGGGCTGCCAGGAGGCTGTGAACATGCTCTGCAGGGTGGGACCAAGTGCCATGCCCTAGAGAGAGGGATCCAAGGACAGGAGAAGGCCCAGCGCCAAGGCAAGCCACCTGGAGGCTGCTTCACATCAGAAGTGCTGGGGTGGAAAGTGACCAAGTCTGAGTCCCTGGGTACGGGGCACAGTGAGGCAAGTCAGGTGGTGGGCAGTGCAGAAACCAGTCTCCACTGGCTTTCAGAGGGGTGGTGGCCCAGAGACCACAGGTCCAGCACGTGGCAGCTCAGTGGGGGCCAGAAAAGCAAGGAGAGGTGGTCTGGCTAAGCACCAAGAAGGCAGGTCCGGTGTGGGGCCTCTCCTCCGGGAAGCCTCCTGAGCCCTGTGGCCCCTGCCAACTGCCTGTGCCCAGGACTCGAAGAGTCCTGAACTGTGCTCCCCCACCCCAGCTGGGAGCTCCTGGGACGGGACTTGGCTGTGCCTTTGAAGCCTGGGAAAGGGACCATGGGTGTGGGTGGACAGAGTGCCCCGAACCCCAGCCCTGGGCTCCCTGCCCTTCTTTCCATCCCCCATTACACATCCACTCAGGTCACTGAACAAGTGTTTATTGAAAACCACCTGCAGCCAGGTTCCCCTGCTGGACACTGCACACCCGTGGGGGGACCACAGACCCCACCCCAGCAGGGCTGGCCAGGGAGGAAGGCAGTCATGGCTGCCCATCTCTCCCAGAGGGCCAGCCATGGCCACCACCCTCCTGCAGAGTCTAGGGAACTTGTCACTGTCACCATCCTGTACCCACTTCCACCGTTGAGGGGAGCAGGGCCGGGCCCAGAACAGATGGAAAGCAGAGCCCTGGCTCCCAAGGGTCAGCCTGGGCAAGCTCCTGGGGAGGGTCTGGCTTGGGGTGCAGCTTCTCCTGAGGATGGTCAGCCTCACACCCACGGATGCCCCAGCTCGTCCTTCTCCAGCCGCTCCCCCCGCTCCTCCTCAGGGAACTGGCAGCTGCAGGCATCCTCTGCGGGTGGGGGGAGCACCTCTAGAAGTGGCTGGGTCTCTGTAGGGGGGTCGTGGTCAGCAGGCAGCCTGAGCCCTCCACCCTCTCTCCTCCCCTAGGACCCAACTGACCTTGAGGCCACATGTGCTTCCTCCTCAGCTGCCAAATGTGCAGGCTGAGCTGGACTGTGGTCAGGACGAGGATGCAGGTGGCCATGGCCAAGAGGAGGATGGTCAGCTGGCCATGTGGCTCAGCGGGCAGAGACCCCAGGAAGCATACAGCATTGTGAGTTTTGTTCCCATGGAACATGGTGAGAAAACCAAACTGGTCGCAGCTGGGACACAGACACAGACACGGTCAACCTTGGTGCTCTGGGCTATTTAGGGGATCACAGGGCCCTCAGGGGTGGCCACCCTGGGAGGGACAGGACAGGATCCCTTGGAGCTACATGGCCAAGGCCTCGCTCAGCACTCACTCTGTCCAAGGTCTGCAGCGGCCCTCTTGGCCACTGGAGAAGGTCCCCACAGCGCAGTCCACACACCTGAAGCCGAACTTGAACTTCCCTAGGAACAGACAGTTGACAGACTGCAAGAAGCACTGGGGTAGGTGAGGACACAGGCCAGCGACAGGGTCCCCTGGAGTCTGACCCCATGGTTTCCATTCACCAGAGGTCTCTGATGCCCACAGGACAGGAGTCCTGCACAATCAGTGCCCGCGTGTACCAGTTACAGAGCTGGTGCAGATGGACAGGGCAGGTAGCAGGCCCTGAGTCATAGTTAAGAGTGAGGGGCTGGAATCCAGACAGCTCCTGGACACCCCCACGGGCCCTCAGAGCCAGCCCTGAGGGTGTGAGCAGCACAGGCCCAGGATATGAGGGCAGGAGCTCCCCTAAAGCTGCATAGTCAGGAGACGGCATCCGAGATCCTGGTCCCCGTGCTCAGAGGATGCACCCACACCCCAGCAGACGGCACCCTGCCCACCACACTCCCTGGAGCTCTGGGTCTGCCTCACACAGCCAGCAGTGGCCTCCCAGGGACTCACCTTCAGGCACTGCTTCCTGGCCTGGAGGGCAGGGGTGGTGTGTACAGGTCTGGCATCCAGGGTCCCCGCAGTGGAATTCGGACTTGACACATATACAGTCAGAACAGTTCTTCTCATCTGGGTGGAGAGTGAGCCAGCCTCTCAGCAGCCAGCCTGAGTCTCCTCCTTCTCCCACTTCTCTTCTGACCTCCACCCTCAGCCAGCTCCAGGCCAGGAGCCTGGGCTTTGTCCAATTCAGTCTCTCCACCTCCCGGGGCCAGCCCCTCAGCACACATGGCTGGCTGATGGTGGGTGTGACCGGACAGGAAGTCACCTGGGGCTTCCTGAGAGCCCCCTTCCCCCTTCCCATCCTGCACTACCCCCTCCAGGCCCCAGGGACACTTCAGAGGCTGTCCACTGTCCACCACAGCCTTAGAGATGTGGAAAAAATGGGGTCAAACCCCAGAGGACCCTTTCACTGACCCTTTCAGAGCTGCCTTCCCCACCCCCAGGCCTGGAAGGGTGCTTTCCTGCAGTCCTCATCCTGGCACTACCCCCTACCCACTATGGCAGCGGCAGCAGAGGGGCCGAAAGACGTGCCTGGACCCCAAGCTGCGCAGGAAGTGGCCTGGGTGATGGCCAAGGTTCCACCAGCCGACAGGAGACAGGGAAGCCTTCCTGCCCCTGAACCCCAGGCACTCTTGGGGTCTCCAGCTCCCTCAGGCCCCTGGCCCTGTTCCCTGACCTTAGGACACCGGACTGAGCTAGAAGCCTCAGCCTCCCTGCGAGATCCCACGGAGACCGAGGCTCTAGGCCCTCCTTGGCCCAGCAGCTGGGTCTGCGCACGCGAGGAGGCGCCCGTCCATCCCCGGCTCCCGTGCTGCGTCTTACCCGGGGCACAGGAGCCACAGCAGCGCGTATCGGTCCCAGTCCCTTGCAGCCAGCGGCCAGGGCCGCAGTGCTGCCCTCGCGCGGGACTCAGACCCGGACCCAGGGCGCAGAGCAGCATGACCCCGCACAGGGATGCCTGCGGGCCCATCGCGCCCCTCGGCGGTCCTGCTCCGGGGATTTTAGGAGGCCTGGCCTGCTCGGACACGCCCCGCCCCCGCCCTAGTTACCGCCTCCCTTGCTGGCGCCAGGCCTCCCCACCTCCAGCAGGCCGGGTGGTGTCCGGGCAGGGCTCTTAGAGGCCACCCAGAGAGGGTGGGAGGAAGCCTTCCATGAAGTATCCAGACCCCCAAAGAACCTCAGCATGGGTCCCACTGCTGGGAAGCCTGGGAAGCTAGGTGGGGAGCTAGGACCAGCCCCTCCCACCCAGCCCACCCTGCCGCCTGAGGCTGCAGAGTGTCTACCGGTGCACAGCTGTGGGTTGCCGCTGTGTGGGTCCCCCCCCCCCTGTGGCTTAAAACCTCCAGGGGATCCCCTTTGCCTCTCCCACCGCAGGGGGCTGACACAGCTCCAGACTTGAGAGCAGAGAGGCGTAACCCACACCCTGGGCCGTCCTGCTTCTGCGCCTCTGACAGCTGGTGGCTGCCAGTCTCAAAGGGACGTCTGATCAGCTGTCCTGGACCTGCCGACGTCATAACTTGGGTCACATCTCCAACCTCTGGGCAGGCACCTCCCTGAGCCCCCTGCTCCAGGCCCACCCAGCACTCCTGGGCATCACCACCAACTTTCCCAGTGACAAGTCTCACCTGGGGGCTGAGAAGCCTGAGCAGTCCAAGGAGGCTTGCTGATAAAGGCAACCCTTCAAAGAGGCTCAGAGAGACAGAAGTCTTGCTCTGAGGTAGAGAGCAGAGTCTCATCGTCTATTCCCTCCGGGATGCCTGGATGTGAAAATGAAAGGGACTCCAAGGCAGGCAGGGTGATGAGCACCAGTAATCCCAATGACTGGGGAGGCGGAGGAGGAGGACCTCGAATTTGGAGGACAGCCTCAGCAACTTAGTGAGCCAGTGTCTCAAAATAAAAGAAGAGCTAGGAATGTGGCCCTAGGTTCCATCCCCAGCAGCGAATAAATAAATAAAAGGATTGGAGATGTAGCTCAGTGGTAGTGTGCTTGCCTAGCATGTGAGGCCCTCGGTTCCACCCCGAGTACTCAAAACGACAAAACAGAAAGTGGCTCCAGAGAGTGACAGCAGAGAGATCCAGAGTGGAACCAGCCCCTGCAGTCAGAGCCGCCGTTGGCCCTGCCCTGTGCCCTGGGGCCTGCCAGAAATGCCCAGCTACGGGCCTTCTTGGAAAGAAAGAGTACAGGAGCTGGCCTCTCCCGCTCTGGTCTCTGGATGCTGAGGCTCAGGCCACCCAGAGCAGAATCCCTTCTGTGAAGAGCCCAGAGATCTCTGTGCAGCTCTGGTGGGTCTGAGTCCTGGAACAGAGAGGAAGCCACTAGCCCCTACCTAGATTCCAGGTAAAGGTGTTGAGGGAGAGCCCGTGAAGTCTGGACCTTGCTCCTGCTCATCTTAAAGACCTAAGAGGTCAGGCAGGTCCATGTGAGCACAGGGTCCCCCCAGTCATGGTGAGCACACAGTACACGTGGCCTCTGGAACATGGGGCATCCTCTACAACAGTGCTGTTCATCTACACCATGAGCCCCTCGTCTTCTGGAAGCAGTGAGGAGGGGCTCCTAGAAAGGAGGAGCCTCCTTGCAGGGTGGGGCCAACCATGCCTTGACCTGCTGGCTTTCAGCAGTAAGGGCAGTGTCCCCTGGAGGGGTCCTGTGGAGGATATGGCCCTGGTGTCACAGGGCAGCTCAGAGGAGTAGGCTCTGAATGGAGGCTGCTTCCCAGAGACCTAGTGCCCTGGTGGCAGCGGTGGAGACTGGAGATCAGGATGCGGTTGGGGATGCTGGTGAGGTCAGCAGCCTTCCTGCCCCACCCACTCCCAGGGCCCTCCTGGCGTTTTCTGCCATTGAGTGGCAGAGACGTGGTTTCTGCCTGCTCGCTCTGTTTGCCCACATTTTGTGAGCTTCAGACGTCAGTGGTGTATGCTCACAGCAGCAGGGTCCCTGGCCAAGGCCCCATGAGTCCCCACCTTGTCCAGCAGGGGCTGACAGAGGGTGTGACGCTCCTGGCAGAGCAGCTTCTGGGGCAGAAGGTGGTAGTGGCTGACGCCTGGGCCAGGGCCTGGGCCCTAAGGGAGGATATGGCAGGGCAGCCAGGCCTGGGGTCTAGGCAGGGCCTGGGGAGATCCGGGGATTCTCAGGGCAAGGCGGATGGAAAGTGAGCCTAGCGAGAGCACAGAAGGAAAGAGAAGGTGACCCAGAGTCCCTGGGGGCAGGTCAGAGCATCCTGCAGGGGCAGGGGCCCCAGATTCTGAAGTGGGAAGGGAGCATCAGGAGGCTAGAGGGTCTTGCCCAGAGGGACGGGGCAGTGCGTGTGAGCTGTGGGGGAAGGAGGACCCCTCCCCAGCTAGAGGAGGCTGCAGCCACCGCCAGCTGCAGACCACAGACCTTCCAGGCCTCACAGATCCCACCCCACAGCCCCTCCCTCCAGGTCCCCAGCTCTGCCCCCCCCGCCCCCCGCCTACCCTGCTGCCCCAGCTCGGGGCAGGGCTGCATGCTGTCCTGCTTGTTGCAGAACCCAGCGAAGGGGACTGAGCCATCCAGGATGGCTGATGCCCTCGGTGGTAGATTCAGGTTGTCAGAAAAAAGGTGCTTGGGAAGGGGAGTCAGAGGACTGGGAGCAGGAGAGCCAGGCACTGGGGTCAGACGTGCTTTGGACTGCAAGTGACAGAGTGCCCCAACAGCACAAGGACTCGATAGCACAACACGTCATAGAGTCGGGCCAGATGGCCAAGGTGGCCAGGCCAGTGAAGGCTGCCCCACCTCAGCTCGCTTGCTCCCGCTGTGAGTGGCAGCTCCCGACACTAGCCCCTCTCCCGACTTGTGGATTTGCTCATGTGGTCGGCCACACCTGCTGGCCATTTCCCGCATGGGATCAGGACCCTCCCATGTGGCTTCTGTCTTTAGGTCATTGAGCATCTATCAGGCGGCTGTGGTCCCAGAGCTTGCCCTCGGACCCCTGAGCAGCTGAGGGCGGCTCTGGGACCTTGAACCCCAAGGGGGGTCACGGCCTCCTGTCTCTCAGCATGGAGTTGGTGTGGCCTGGGAGGCCGTCTGAGTTGCCTTCAGTCGACTGCTTACTCTGCTGTCGGTGGACTTTGGGGCTTTTCCACCTCGGGATGATTTTTACATGAGGTGGCTGTGGACACTTGTCCACATTCAAGGGCGCTTGTTTCTGGGGGGTAAAAGCCCAGGAGCAGAACAGCCAGGTCTCAGGAGAGAGTTTGGTTCAAGCAGAAGCCTCTAGATTGACAAAGTGGCTGCCCCATTGGGTGCCCCTGCAGGGACATGGGGACTGTGGCCAGCTACCACCAGGGACTCCCCAGGCAATGTCCTCCCACCAGGGACTCCCATGGCCACTGCCCACCAGGTATAGGGGTGGGGCTTAGAGGCTGGAGAACAACTACAGCCCCAGGTTTTCCCCAGAGCCGCAGAAGCTGAAAGGAGGCTGGGGCTGGCAGGGCCCCTGTGTTGACCAGGGCACTAGGGTCCTTCTCTCTGACAGGGTTTCCCCCAGTCAGCCTACGGTGTGGGTCCCTCGGAACAGAGGCCTCTGTACAAGCTCTCAGGCCCAAGCTCCCAGGCTCCACTCTGCCATCTCCAGTCCCTCCCCAAGACCCCAGGACTCCACTAGGACACTTTCAGTCGCCTCCCACTTCCCAGCCTCAAACTGGAGCATGCCATGCCCACTCAGATGAGCCTCTGAGCGGACCCCCACCCCAAGCTTGGCGGAGATCCCTCCCCAGCTAGAGGGGGGTGCAGCCACAGTAGCTGGTGTGTTTATTGGGGTGCCGTTGGGCAGGTAGTATGCACAACATACGTAGGAGAGCCCAGAGCCGGCCCAGCACCTAGAACGGTGTGGAGGGCACAGGTGGGTGGCCTGTGCCTGGGGCGCTGCCCCACAAAGCCCACCCCCAAGATGCTCTCAAATCTTGGCCAGGGTGGAGTGTGCGTCGGGCTGTTCCTCTTGAATGGGGGTCCGGAAGCTGTTTCCCCCTAGGGAGAAGAGGGAGGTGGCTGGAGGTGGGGTGTCTCTCTCCTCCAGGAGGGGCCTGGGCTGGTCACAGTGGACACTCACCGGATGACCTCCAGGCCCTTCCGTGCAGGTGCAGGGCCAGCAGGACAGCCAGGGGAGCCAGGAGGCTCAAGCCCAGGCCCAGGACAGCAGCCAGCGGGAGGCCTGCAAGGAATGTCAGTGAGGGGGGACTCCCACCCCACCCTCCATCCCTACTCCCCTTCTGGGCAAGGCCCCTTACCCCTGCGGGCCTCTGATGGCGGCGTGGAGGGCCCTAGAGAAGTTCCAGGCAGGGCTGCAGTGGACAGGGCAGTGGTGGGCCTGGCTGTGGGGCCCTGGGTCTCCCAGGGTAGTGTGCCTGGGGAAGTCCTGTTCTCGCAGAGGGTGTCTGAGCTCATGCTGCCTGGTTTTAGGGTGCGCTTCCCGGTCAAGGTGCAGCTGGGGGAGGGGGAGTCGGTCAGTCAGGCCAGAGGGTGATGGGCTCCACACCGGATGACCTCAAAAGTTTCTGACTCTAGGCCAAAGGTATTGGAGGTAGCGCCCTACCCTCCTTCCTCAGGCCACACGCCTTGCTGCACCTACCCTCCATCCCCATGACCCCCAACCCCTTGTCCCCATTTTCCCCAGCTCCCTGCCGCCTCTGCACCCCAAACCCACACAGCACGCCTCTTCCAGCTCCTGGAGTAGAACCCCGGAGGACGGGGGCCTCACACCCCTGGGGCCCCGAGTTATGGTCCCACATGCCTCCACTCTACCCGCAGGGACCCTGCTATTGGGGACAGGCCTGCCGTTGGGGACAGGCCCCAGGAGCTCCCCAGCCAGGGCTTCCTGCTCCCTGACTTGGCCCAACCCTCAGTGGGAGCCCAGCACTCCCCCACCCCGAGCCCCAGCCCCAGCCCCCAGCCCCACTCACTTGGTCCAGGGCTTGCAGGCCTTGTTGTCGCCTGGTGAGAAGTGGCCAGCAGGGCAGGGGGCACAGTCTGCAGCAAAGACCCCGGAGGTCTTTGAGCTCTGACCCCGGAGGTTCCTGGAGTTGGGGCCTGTGGGGCTGGTGCTCACCCCCATGGCAAGCGGGTGGGTGGAAGGCCTCTGGAAGACCCCTGTGCGTTCTGCCCACTGACCCTTACCAGGGAGCTGATGGGGAACCCCATTCTTGATGTGACCCTTCTGGCCCAGCCCAGAGGGGGAGACACTGGGGACCGACTGTGTGATGTGAACCATGGCTCATTCACACCCTTACCAAGGCCTGTGGCTTGAGGGTACCACCTCACACGCACTGGACATGCACAGACTCTCCCCCACCCCGGGCCAGGGCCACCACAAGGCTCACCGACTCCAGGCTTAAAGCCATCCAGGGGCTGAGTGCCTGGCCTACAGCGGCAGACAGTGTCCTGCGTGGGTGTGCATTTCTTCTTGAGCTCACTCCCACTTCCTGGGGGTGCAGGTGGAGGCTGTGGAGGAGGCTGCAGACAGTGCCCCAGGAAGGGGGAGCTGGCCTCCTCTCAGTGCAGCAGAGGCCAGGACTGAGGGGCTGCTCCAGCCTCATCCCAGGCCCCCCTCTGCAAGCCCTGAAGCCCCAGGGTCTCAAGCCTTCCCTCCGGTGACCTCTCCCTGGCCCCTCTGTTCCTCTGAGTCACCAGACCCTGGTGAGGGCCCTGTGGCCGCTCTGGCTCTCTTCCCCACCCTCCTTGCACCTGTGAGCCCGCAGCACCTGAGCTGGACACTGGTGGCTCCTGGGCTTAGGTAAGGCCACACGGTAGGAACTCCACGTGGCCCCAGGCAAGCCACAGCCAGAGCAGAGCGAGCCTCAGCCCCAGGAGGGGGTCTGGGATGCAGGGCTGCTTTCTGCAGCTCATGGGAATGTGGTGCTGGTTGTGGCTGCCCCCCCTGCTGGCTGGGGCCCTGGTGGGTGGGGCTTACTCTGGTTGCACTGGGTACAGGGCTTGCAGGCCTCGTAGTTGACTGCCTCATTGTAGGAGTCCGGGTCGCAGGGGAGGCACACGGTATCCCTGGGTCCCTCACAGCGGCTCACCATCCCACTACCTGCAGCAGAGCTCAGCACATTGGCGGCTGAGCCAGGCTGGCCTGTGGGCACTCACAGGCCACTTCCTGGGCTGCACAGACCCGCGCCTTCCTTCTCAGGACAGGCCCCACTCAGGCCAGGTCCTCCAGAGCAGCACCCAGCGTGCTCCTCCCAGGACACCATGCCTGTGTCCATGTCACCTCTCCTCTGGGTGTTCCCCACCTGGAGGCTACTCACCTGGCTGGCACTCTTGACAGCACCTTTGGCCATTGGGATAGGTGTCTCCGACACAGTTCAGTGCAGCCCTGACTTCAAGCAGGAGCCCAAGGAGCAGAAGGGCAGCAGGCCCCCAAGCCCCCGCGCACATCCTCATCTCTGCCTTCACAGGAGTCTGGGGGTTTCCTGGCAGGATGTGGCTATAAGGGCTGCGGGGGAGGGTGGGGAGGGGCGGGAAGAAAGTGTGTAAGCAGGTGCGTGCCTGTTGGCGTGCACAGGCGTGTGTCCCTGCATCCCTGTCGGGACGAGCGTTCGTCCTTGCTGACGGCCTGGACAACCCTGTCTTCCAGAGAACTGATTACAGGCTGTGGGAGCCCAACCTCACACGTGACTGGGTCACACTCCCCGGCTGGGTGCTGAGGCGCTCAGTCGCAGAAATGTGGCACAGCTTTCCCCACCCTTCTTGGGTGCAAGGGTCGCTGTCTCGTGCCTGGGTGTGTCTTGCTACAGCCCATGGATGGAGCTAGGCTCACCTGTTCCTTTGTAATCTAACCCCTTGCCCTGTTTAGGATAGAATCTTCCATGGAAGGGCCTTGTGTGTGTCCCCTCCTCTTACTGTGCCCTTCCTTGAGTGTGGCCTACCCAGGTGTCAGTCAACCTGCTGACAGTGGACATCATGAAGATACACTCAGCCCCCTGAAACCTGACCCCTGGCCTCATTTGAATAGCTTCCCTCAATACAAGGGGTCAGCGCGTGCTCTCCCTCTCTCTCTTCCTGCGGACCCTTAAGGTCAGAGGAGCCGTCACAGCGACCCCAAAGAAAAAGGTCTTTGTGTCTCTTGTGTGGTTATTTTGTGCAGCCCAGTCGGCCCAGTGTAACTGGAGTGACCCCTGAGCCTTTTCGTCGCGAGATCCGAAACCCGCAACAGGCCACTCACAGGACAGGGCCACACGGAGAGACAGGAACTCCTGGGGCATTCATTCCTGAGAGCAGCCTCGTGTCCACGACCCAGGGCAGAGTGTGCATGCAGCCACCTGGGCATGGGAAGGGAAGAGCACACACAGGTGCACACCCATGTACACATGTGTACAACAGGGACACATACACGTGCATATGTTATTTGTGATAAAGAGGAATCAAACCCAGAGGCACTTTACCACTGACTACATCCCCGGTCCTTTTAGTTTCAAGACAGTCTCACTAAATTGCGAGGTTGGCCTTGAACTTGCAATCTTTCTGCCCCAGTCTCCCAAGTAGCTGGGATTATAGGTTGGGCACTGTGCTTGACTGTCTTAATTTTTTTGCAGTACCAGGGATTGAACCAAGAACCTCATGCATGCTAAGTGCTCTACCACTGAGCTACATCCCCAATCCTTTATTTATTTATTTACTTATTTTGGAGACAGGGTCTTCCTAAGTTGCCCAGACTAGCCTTGAATGTAGGAACTCGAACCCCACTGCCTCAGCCTCCAGAGTCACTGGGATCACAGGCATGGCCACCACACCCAGCACAGACTTTCTTTTCTTACATGTGGACACCCCCTGATACCACTCTGGCTTGAAGAAAATGGGTCGGGTAAGGACTGGGAGGGCTCTCTCTGTCCCTTCTGTACCTATTAAATTGTGCCATGACAGGATCATCTATTCCCGAGTTAATTTTAAAAGCGGCAAATGGAGTTCCCCACCCCTGCAGGATGAGCAGAGGGAAGGGGCTGGAAATCCCCCACCCACGAGCCACACAGGTGAGAGTGGCCTGGCCCACCTGCAGGAAATTCCCAGCCTGGAGGCGGGGCCAAGAGGGGACCAGACAGCAGTTGGAAGGAAGTGGAAGGAGAGACCACCCCCCTCCCAAGCCTCTAAGTGCAGTGGGGTCTTGGAGGAAGGAAGGTCCTCATCTTTAAACCCGTGGCCCATGAGCAGCCAGAAGCCTGCATTTGCCAAATGGTTTCTTTTGAGGGTGAGCCGGGGGTCTTGATGTGCACCTCTTCCACTTTGAAGCAGCCTTCCTCCTCTGCCTGCCCCTCTGGCAAGGCTGGTCTCTTCTGCCCATGGCTGTGCATGACTGGCCAAGGGGCTGGCACCTGCCCACAGGTGACCTGAGGTGCACTGAAACCTGGATGCTGGCTGCCCACCCTCCAGCAGGTTCATTTGGGAAGCAGCATCCCCTGCTTGAAGCTGCCCTGCCGGTAGTGACAGTGGCACTGCCTGTGCAGTTCCCATGGCCTTGGGTGGGAAGTCCCAGGTCTGCAGAGGCACTGTCAGGAACTGCCTCCACTCTGTCCACTGAACTCAGATCCCTGGGGTCTGCAGGGGAGACCACAGGTGTAAGCAAACCCGAGCACAGCCTCACGTCCATGACCCAGGGCAGTGTGTGCATGCGTCCCACCCTCCCTTGAGTATGGCAGTCAGGGGTACCCAGAGCAGCTGGGTCACAAATGGCTGACCTAGGGGCCTCAGAAAGAACAGGTGCGCACACCACAGCGTCCAGCCTGCCCTCAGCTCACACCTCGGCTGCTGCACTGCCCACGGGCCAGTTCTCAGATGCCGCCCCAGCCCAGGGCCATGAGCTGAGGGGGACCAGGAGCACTGACTGGCAAGGACAGGCTACAGGCCAGCCCAACGTGGCCACACCCCAGAAGGGTGGGCATTGCATTTGGGAGATGTTACAGAAGGCAGAGCCTGTGGGGACTTTCCTGCTGACACCACGGTCTGGGATCTGAAGTCTTTCTTCTGGTCTACAAACCAATCCAGATGCTAGCACACCCTCAGAGCTGTCAGGGTCCACCCATACTGCACAGAAGCAGGTCCTGGTGGAAGATGGCCAGTCACACAGGAATGCAGGGTGGGCCCAGGATGGCAAGAGGCAGGTGGCACATCAGTCGTCCTAAGGCACCCGTCCCACTCTCCACCCCCCCCACCATGCTCTGCTGCTGACCCCCACACAAGACTGACTCATCGAAGCCACCCACCAGCTCCATGGGCACAGTCCCCGCTGGTCACAGCTGTCTCATTTTCTGTGGCTGCCCTCTTCCATCTTTAGTACAATCAACTGTTTAACAAAAGCTGGGAACCCCTCACGTTAACCAAATGCCCACCTCAAAAACTTCTAGCGAGGGCTGGGGCTGGGGCTGGGGCTGGGGCTGAGTGGTCGAACACTTGCCTAGCACTGGGTTCCAGTCTCAGCACCACATATAAATAAATGAATAAAGTAAAGGTCTATCAACGTCTTCAAAACAAAGACAGAAACAGAGAAACAAAGACAGACTCTGGTGGAACTGCCTGGCCTAAGACACTCCCAGCTGCCGTGTTCGCTTTTTCCACCAAAAGGAGGGAGCGTGAGAAAAACCGACTTATTTTAGATCAACGGTCCTTGTGACGGGAATGCTGGCGTTTTCTCAGGCTGCCTGCGGTCCCGTGTGGTCCGACAGGCCCCAGGCCCGCCCAGTGACCCACCCGGGCCTCGTCCAGGAAGCAGGGCCTTCCTGACGGCCCGACCACTGCCAGCAGAGCTGATTCTGTCCTTTCAGTTCTCCAGGAAACGGCAGGAGGCACGCTATTTCCCACGGTGTGGGCAGCCTGCGAGGGGCCCAGCGCTGACGCGGTCAGCACCTTCAGCAGAACTCAGCAGTTCTCAGAAGAGACGGAGCCACGGAGGCCCAGAGGGCAGAGCCAGGCTGGGCACGCTCAGCTCAGTCTGGCCTGGGGACTGGCCACCCGCTGGACCCGCACTGCACAGGGACACGCAGGGCAGTGAGCAGACCTTTAATGAACCCGGGCCACGCTGCGGTTGGGGACTGAGCCAGAGCTGTGCATGGCCCGCGGGAAGGAAGGTTCTGGGTAGCACACTGTGGCTGCTGGTGACCCCTGCAGGTGGGACGGGCCCCCACCCAGGGCCGCTCAGAACTCCTCGTGCACGTTGCGGGCGTAGTCCATGAGCTTGCTGCCCGTGAAGAACTCGCTGTACTTGAGCACCTCCTCGGGCTCCAGGTGCTGGTTCTGGTTCTCGTCCGCAATGGCGATCATCTGCTTGGCCTCGTTGAGGGCGTTGTACTCGTTCATGGGGTCCATATAGTTCTGTGGCAAGTGCCGGCATGGTCAGCAGTCCACTCCCCACACCCTGAGTGGCCCAACCCAGCTTGTCCTCCCCCACACACCTGGACACGGACACCGGGACAAGCTAGAGAGTGGCACATTCCGTCTCAGGGGAGAGGCTCAAGGCTTTATTGTTGTAACCACTCAAAGTGTGGCTCCTCGATTAAAATGCCCACTGGTTGCAGGACAGGGATGTGGGCATGTTCTGGAATGTTCCAGAAGGGAGATGATGATGGATGGGAAGCACACAAGAAGCTGGGGGCCTGAAACACCTGCCTGGGGGCTGCAATGGGTCACACCAAACACACTGGTGTGGCCACGAGGCAGGGAGGGCCCGGCCGGCCGTAGAACCCAGGGCTGATGAAGGGCTGAACCGCAGCCAGCCCTGCTCACCATCAGAGACACTGAGGGCTCTGGAATAGAGCCCCGAGACCCCCCACACCCGCCTGGCAGCCCACAGGCCCCTTCAGAACTGGGTGCAATGTGTGCTTCCTTCTGGGCCCTGAGAAAGGGTCCAGGAGCCCCCGACACAGGGCAGGGTGTGCAAAGCGACAGAGCCCTCGTCCATGAGGCCAGGGCCTATCCCAGCACCACCAATAAACAGAAAGCGACTGTGGCAACAGACTGCAGTGACAGCTATTTAACACTAAAAAACAAAAAAACAAAACAGGAAAAGACAGAATCCCAACCCCTCCCAAGGACCAAGCCGCCAAGTCAGGAGCAGGCCCCATGGTCTTCCGGGAGTTTCTGTCTCTCTGATGTGTCTGGGCAGAAAGGCCAACGCCCACCCTGGGTGGGCCCTCCTGGGAAGTGCTAGGTACAACCCAGGACCCGCCACAGCCAGCCTGACCCAGGTCCACGGCCACCGCAGTGGCCATCCTCTCTCCAGTCACAGCTGTGGGCTGGCAGGATGCAGCCCTGTCCCCAGGGCTGTCCGCACTCACCTCCAGCTCCTCCATGGTCACGGTCCCATCGTGATTGGAGTCAATCAGCTCCTCAAACTCTCTCCTCCTGTCTTTCACCCAGCTGTCGTCGATGTCCTGGCCTTGCTGGTTTTCAACGGTGCCCACAGGCAGCGAGATGAACTCAGGCAGAGAGAGCTGCTTGTCGCCGTCCTGGTCTACAGACACGGGGCAGGGAGGGGGGGGACACTTGAAAGACACCTTGTGTGGCGATGCAGCAGACTGTGCACCCAACAGGTGCCTCTTATGGACCTGCTCCAAAACCTGGCCAGGCCTGGCCTGCCCTCCTTCCCGGCCTCTGGGCAGCAGAGTGGTGAAACCTGGCCACCCAGGAAGCACAGGCACTCCAAGTCACTGGTCACCCCCAGGCCTGAGGCCTGCTGGGCCGGATGCAGCCCAGCCATAGGATGGGCCTTACCCAAGTCCCGGATGATCTCCTTGACCATGAACTTGAGCATGCCCCGGCTGTGCTCAGGGTGAAGGAATGACAGGAACTCATCCTCCGTCAGCAGCAGGTCTGCAGGGGGATTGTCTGCCTGATACCAGCGGTCTCTGAGGTTCTCCAGGACTTCCTGTGCTGAGAGAGGCAGGCCTGTGAGCATCCTGGCACCAAGGCCAGAAGGCTCCGAGAGAGCAGCCTGCAGGACGCACTGAGCTGAGGCCCAGGGCCTGGCCCACCTGGGAGGGCAGGGCCTACGAGGCGAAGCACAGGACCCTCTGACACAGCCCAGACCCCCGTGGCCCTGACCCACGGTCCTGACCCCTGGCCCCGCACACTCCGGCTGTTTATTCCTAGGCAGAAGTGGAAATCACGCAGCGGGCTGACTCACCCCGCAGTCTGCAGGAAAGACGGCATCACCCCGCTCCCTACTCACTGCACGTGCAGCCTCACCCAGCAAACCCGGCGCTGCAGAAAACCCAGTTTCTAGAAATGACTGAGGTGGTGAGCAGAGCTTCCCAGGGGCCCTCCCGGCTGGGCCCACGAAGAACTTGTGCACACGGTCCTCGCTCTCTGAAGCGGCAGCTACCTATGTCTGGGACATCCCCACACGTCCCCAGGCAAAACAGGATACCCTCATCCTCCTGGGACCCACTGTGGTCAGTGACCACGTCCTGGTGCCTGCAGCGAGGCTTCACCTGGGTCCTGACTCAGCCCCAGGCCCTATCCTGGCTACAGAATCCCCTCCAGAACCCGGAGCCCTCCTAGCTGTGGCAGCTGGGGGTGACCTTTGCATCTCAGCGCTTTCTGCTCAACAGGCCACCCGGTGGTGGCCTAATTCACAGGACAGACTCTGAAAAAAGATGGGAGCCAGGGGTGGTGGCACATACCAAGAGTTCCAGCTATGGCAGACACTCGAGTCAGGAAGATTGCCTGAGCCCAGGAGTCAAGGCGGCCTGGGTGACCAAGACCCCATCTCAACAAACCAAAAATTAAAACAAAAAAAATTTAGGAAGGTGGGAGACACGGGGCTTGGTAAACAAAACACAGGCTGCCCCCTTCCCTGGCTGCTCCATGGATGGCAGGACGGGGTCAACCCTGAGACCCAAATGGGACAGGCAGACCTGCTGAACAGCCCATCCCAAGACCCTTTCTGTGGGCAGGATCATTGCACAAGACAGCACAGGAGTCTTGTAGCACTGTCCCACTGAACTACCCTAAGACCTGCTGGCCAACCCCCAAGACACACTCCCTGGCACCTGTGGATGGGACCTCTGTGGGAAGAGGATCTGGACGTGAACCTCCGGATCTGGTGGAGAAGGTCGACGTACAGGTTGGAGCATGGACTGGGACCTCAGGGGCACACAGGCACCCAAGATGCCATGAATCCTGACACACCGCTACTGAGTCCAAGGACAGACAGGGACTTCGCATGTGCAGGAAGGACATGTCCTACACAGGACAGACACACCAAGTGAAGGGGCCCAGAGACGACCAGCCCCCAAAGGAAGATGAGGTGGAAGACAGGGCCAGCCAAAGCAGCTCCCAACTGCTAGGCAGGAGGACAGACCCCAGGGCCCCCCGAAGGGGAACTCCAGGGGCAGCAGAGACAGGTGAGCAGGGAGGAGGGAAACCCAAACATCCAAATCCCACCTTCGGGACAGAGCTGGGCTGGGCAATGGGGCCCGTCAGCCCAGCATGGGGACTGCTGGGGCCCAGGAGTTTGAAACCCATCTAAAAAAAGAAGAAACCGGAGAGAAAAGAGAAAGACAGGAGCAAAGTATTACCATGGTAGGGCCTGCGCACGGGCAGCAGGAGGGCTCACGGCTCACAGGCTTCCCTGCTGCCCACTGGGCCCCGCCCCGCCAGGGAGCCACACACCCCAGCTGAAGGGTGGCATGCAGGGCCCACAGGCACCAGCCCCCACGGGGACAAGGTGGACCGATAGGACACCACGGGCCTAACCTATGTGGAGCCAGACGTGGGCCGAGGGAGTCCCTCCAGCATGACAGGGGCGAGGCACAGGGAGGGCACAGAGCCAGATGGGTCTAGTCCCCTCATCCTGCTTCACAGGGCATGTCCATGAGACAGTCCTCCCCACAGTCCCCTGGAGCCGGGCCCTGCCCCTGCCCCTGCCCCCTGGTGTGGCATGGCTGACACCAGGCTGAGGATTCCCCGTCGGCCTGCTCCCCACACCGCACACCTGACTGAGGCGGGGTCCCCTGGAAGGCACAGAACGCTGCCCGCTCCTGCCGGACTGCTGCTCTGTGAAGGTCTCTGCCAGGCCCTGCCCCACGTGCCTACCACTGGGCCTGGGATCGTGGCCCAGGCTGTTCTCTCCATGGAGCCTCCCCTCACGGGGCCAGCTCTCCCTGCCTCCCGAGTCCAGAGATCGGCCTCGATCGT